CCTATACGTATAAATCGCCCATATACAAATGCATGTAGTTTACTCACTTAATAATCGTTCGGTTACAGGGTTTACTTAGGCTACGTAATATGCCTAAGATTTACTCGAGTCTCTCTACTCAGTGCCCATAGAATATATGGTAACCTGATACATGTAGTTCCATCATGGGCCGCTGTTTCAAGAGCTTTTCTATGATCACACCGGAATAGCCTGACTACGGTAAAGTCAGATGCCGTTGTCACAAATGGCTGACACCGGTTCGTATTCGATTTGATTTTCACGAATTATAAGTTCAATAGAGCACGTATATTAAATTCATTTGGCACACGAATCAATAAAAGTGTCTTGGTACTCACCGTATAGTTGATAATCTTCTACCATCTAAATGAAACCTTCAATTTAACCGATCAAGATATGGCATGGGACAACGGATACTGTAAAAATGACAACGGTAAATGTGGGTCAAATGTGCTCTAAAATTGAGCTGACAACGGTAATATTTGACAACGGTATCTAGAAAGACAACGGTAATGTAACGCTAGAAGCATTGAATTTTTATGGTTTGACTCTAAGTTATAAATATCGAGTCGCGAAACGCCAGATGGGGTAGGGAAGGAGAAAAATGACTTTTTATACAGAAAACCAAATCACTAACAGTAACCGCTAGTGTCCCTACGCAGGACTATAGCTTTATAATTATGTCAATGAGCATCCTCCTAAGCAGGTGTCCAGAATCCGTACCTCCTTCTTCTGGATTTTGAAGCCCTGTGATCGGAGGATGGTCAATGAGTTGCAAACGCTGCACTGAAACGGGTCAAGACATCGTTGACTTCTGTTTATGTAACTTATTTAGAAAGGTTGATATATCGAGTGATTCAAAAAATGTAATCGCATTTGAACGATAATTTCATATCAGTTATAGCTATCTCATTTTAAGCCCAAGATCTGCCTTGGTCACATTTGCGCCGATTTTCAGTACGGCGTCCGGCCGATTGAGTATTGATTGATCAATCGGCTGGGCGCCGGCCGATGGATCGGAGCATATGTGACCAATGCTGTTACGCGGTATATGGCATACATTCATGGTTGCGCGGTCTTGTGATACGGGTGAATATGCCATACTCACCTGCGGTATATGGCATATTCCGCAGGTGAGTATGCGATATTCCGCAGTGAATATGCGATACATTGATTTCAGTGAATACCCGATACTTACCTGCGGAATATGTCATACTCACTTGCGGAATATGCCATATACCGCAGGTGAATATGACATATACCGCAGGTGAAAACGTGATACAGAAAGCCTTGATTTGATTGGTTGCGAGAATCGACTCTAAATGTAAAACTACGCTGGATTACCACTATAGTTAGTGCGTCGAGTACTAATATATGAATCCTGGATTGGTTGAGTAAGTTTATTACACGAGTGATACTTCTGCTAAGTTAATATATTCGATAATGTTTGATTCAGTAATCATTATAATAATTTATAACGTTTTGTGCTTGTTCGTTCAATCGATGCAATTGACAATTGCGTACTTCCGTATCACGTTCTCATTGGTTAGTGTGTATGCCATATACCGCAGGTGAATCTGTCATACACCGCAAGTGAATATGCCATATTCGTTGCGGAATATGACATATTTTTGTATCGTGTTTACCGCGTAACAAATGCATTCAGAAGTGATTTGGATAGAAACTCAGTAAAATAGGCTAGCCATTAGACAAATTGAAATGTATTTTGATTTTGATGAACTAGTAAGACCTGAATTAAAGTACTCAATTGAAGTTTATCCAGGCCCATAGCAAGAATTTGAAGGGGATTTCTCTTTTAAAGAAATCTAGGTGCCGTGAATTCGTACGATCCACGAGGCGATCCGGATAAATTTCGCTATTTTTTCGGCTTTTATAGCCCATTTATTTCATTTACATTATACACAATATACATGATAATATATCAAAGTAGAAAAAAAACTTGCGCCGGAAAAAAAGAAAATAAAGGCAGATGTCACATTGGTAAGGAGTTTTTTTCATTTTTAACATAGTTTATAAGTTATATACTCTTTCAAAGAGTTTAATCGTAACTTATTTTGAACTTTTCGGTCTAATTCTCTTATATTAAAATTCCAAATGTGTTCTGTATTAAATTTTCCAATATATATTTACCATAATTTAGCCTATTTATTATTAGGGTCTGGTGAGCTTTGCGATCCATTTGATTTTTAGGTTTTCTATGTAGGATTTGAGATTTGAGACCATTTTCAGTCCACCTTCTTCTCTGTTTCCCATCACAGGGCCGTCAGATGGGGGGGGGGGGGGTGCGATGGGCCCTTTGTCACCCCCTAAAAAAATTCGAAAAAAAAATTTTTGAAAAAAATATTTTTGTATTTTTTTTCATTGACTCATACACTATGAAAGTACCCAGAAAGCACCAAATAGCATCTTAAAATTGTAAAATTTTCTAGGGGTATTGGCCACCCCTCACACCCCCCACAAAACAATGGAAAAGTTCTAAATTTATTTTAGTGTTTTGTCTCAGACACTTTTAAAGTGCCCAGACATCATCAAATAGCTCCTTGATATAGTTAGTGTTTCTGGGGGACTAACACTTGCTCCCCCTCTTGCATTTTGCACTTGCATCCCCACCCCACCTCTCCCTCTGGTACCCCCCCCCCCCCAAAAAAAAAATTGGATAAAAATTGTGATTTTCTCAAATTCTTTAATAGACTCATGCACTTTGAAAGTGTCCAGAAAGCACCAAATAGCGTAGTAAAATTGCAAAATTTTCTAGGGGGAGTGGGCCACCCCTCACACCCCAAACAAAACAATGGAAAAGTTCTGAATTTGTTTTATGTATTGTCTCAGACACTTTTAAATTGCCAAGACTTCATCAAATAGCTCCTTGATATAGGGAATGATTCTGGGAGACTAACACTTACTCGCCCTCTAGCATCCCAAATCCACCTCCCCCTCTGGCAGCCCCCCCCCCCCTAAAAAAAATTGAAAAAGATAAGATAAGATAAAAAAAGTGATCGTTTTTCAATGTTTTTATTATTAACTAATACACTTTAAATGTGCCCAGAAGTACCAAATATCATCTTTAAATTGTAAAATTTCAAGGAGAGTTAGCCACCCCTCACATCCCCCACAAAACAAAAGAAAATATTCTGAATTTCATGTATTGTCTCAGACATCATCAAATAGTACCTTGATATGGTCAATGTTTCTGGGGGACAGCCCCTTGCTCCCCCTCTGGCACCCCACCCCACTTCACCCTCTCATCCTCTTTGACACCCCCAAAAGAATTTGAAAAAAATGCACATTTTTCTTATTGACTCATTCACTTTGAAAGTGCCCAGAAAGCACCAAATAGCATCTCAAAACTGTAAAATTTTCTACGGGGAGTGGACCACTCCTCACACCCCCCCCCCCTTCACAAAACAATTGGAACATTTGGAAGTTGCATTTGTTAATTCCAAACCAATATAGGGAGTAACCGAACCCCCCTCTGACTTACGCGATTTGATTTACGCGGCAAAAAATTGACAATTTTATATTCTCTTTAGTAAAAACCGCACCCCCCTTGGAGAAAAGTGTCTTACGGGCCTGCATCATTGTACGTCGTGCTATCTTATCTTGTTTGTTGCTCCATATGGATTTATAGAAGCTTGACTCTGTGTCTTGAATAAGGTCTTCTTTTGGCATTGGTAGAACTGTTGCCATGTAAGTAATTTGGGAAAGAATAGTAAAGATTTAACTAAGGTGATTTTTCCAAGTGGAGTAATGTCTCTTCCTTCCCATGACTTAATTATGTCTTTAATTCTCTTTTTAGCAATTCAGGTCTGCAATGAGTTGTCTGTTTGATAAAGGTATTGTGATCCCAAGCATGGTTACTTTATCTGCTGTAAATTTAATATTTAGTTCTCTACATGTTTGTTCTGTCTGTTGTTGTGCTTCTGGTTCTAAGCTCATATCTCCAATAATACCGACATCTGTTTTGTTTTTGTTTATTTTTTAACCTGAAGTTCTTTTTAACCTGGAATTTTTGGAATAAATTTATTGCGTTTTTCACTGATTCTGTTGACCTAAGTAACAGTGTAGTGTCATCAGCGTATTGGGATATTTTTATTTCTGTGTCATCAGCTTTGATTCCTTCTATTCATATATCTTGTCTTGACTGCCTCTGCTAATATTTCAGGACTGATAGAATGAATAGGTATGGGCTCAGTCGGCACCCTTTGCGTACTCCTCTTGAGACGTGAAAGTAGTCGCATGTGTAATCATTATTTATTACGGTGCTTACTGCATTTTTATAGAATGTCTGGACCAATTAACATATATCTGGTCCAAAGATTAAAGTACACGAGAGTTTTTTGTATGAAGTCCCATTCAATGGTATCAAAAGCTTTTTCAAAATCAATGAGCGTGATGATTCCCCATGTGTGATGTATTTCCAAATGTTCCATGCTGTCAATAATTAATCGTATATTTTCTCCATTGTGTCGGCCTTAAATAAAACCTGTTTGGTCCATCTTGATTATATTCTTTATGTCGGTGCATCTTGATCCTTTCTGCTATAGCTCTTGTAGCGATTATAAAGTCAATATTGAGGAGACTTATTGGTCGCCAATTTTTTAAGTCCAAAATATCTCTAGCTTTCTTTGGAAGTAGAGATATGACAGCACGTCTTTGTTCTGTTGACATTTCGCCGTTTTGAAAAGAAAGGTTAAGCTTTCTTTTAAAAGATTTAGAATGTCATTTTTGAAGTCATGCTAAACCCCGGGATAAAACCAATGAAAAATGTACAAGCCAAAAAGCATGAGCTAACTCTCACATGAGACTTTTATGATGGTCTCAGCTCTCACCCACTAGGCCTATAAAATTGCACTCCATTACTATTGAGATGATTTCCCGGGAATACATTGCCGTTTCTTCTAGTGTAATTCATAGGTGGCGCAAATATCCCTGATATCAAAATTGTGAACCCCTTATTCTTCCTCTTTCTCGTGAAAATGGGTTTTCAGTCAAAGGTAAAATATGAGCGCAAACGTTTTCAAATTTAGTAATAATTTAGGCAATAAAAAGTAATGAGTTGTAATTATATGTTTACACATGTGTCTATTCTTATAGCTGTATGTGTTTCGAAGGCTAATTTATCAGCACAAACGTCCGCATTTTGAGTTTGAATCTTTAAAAAATGTAGATATTTTTGTAAATCCAATATGGCGGCGCCCATGCAGCAACGTTGAACTATGTATTTCTAGTCATTTCTTCCCTCCTATCTTGTCATACACGTGTCACAGACTACAGTTAAGTTATATTCTGCATTTCATTTGATTCCAGGCAACTTACTGTGCATGTTCAAAGTATTTCTTTGGTGTTGTCGGAAATTGTTGATAAATATTGAAAGTTGACTTCCAGGACTAGCGTCAAGTAAACTCATCTAGGCTTACTCGAGTCTCTAGCCAATTATTGTTGTTATCTCAAGTTTTTGGCTTTTTGATGACTTTGATATTTGTCACATTCAAACAAAGACATTAGATAGGTTGGATCGTGGAAAATGCTTTTCTGGCCTCTCTGTCCAACCAAAATCCCACTCATCATAATACTTGGAAATAAGAAATGATTTGGAACACCTTTTCCAACATGGTTTCGTGCTTAAACGGCAACCAATGTGTTTCAATCTCCCATATACAAATTAGGGCTGCCATCATTAGTCGGAACGTCGACTTGTCAGTCAAAATGCAAGTTCGACAACGAAGTCGACAAAAATTCCCGTCATGTCGACAGCAAACGATATCAATACTTACTTGAAAATATCCAAATGGCCCCAATACATTTCAATACACATTTCAACGTGTTATGTGCGCGTATTCTGCGGAAATATTGTTCACATTCATTTCATTTTCAAAAAATAAATTCACCCGGAAGTTCCCTTCATGACTTCTCTTCTCTCTTGCGAGACGTTGTACGAGATTTCGCCCGAGCAGTCGAAATAAATCCCGGTCGAAACATTGCAGGTATTTGTCCCATTTTCGTCTATAATATTCTATTAACTTGGCATTTAGTAACAATATTAGGCAATTACATACCAATATGAATATAAGTTATATGAAGCTTTTCCCCGATAGATTTGGAAAAAACGAACCAACAACACAGAAATAATTTTTCTTTTTTTCCCGATGATTTTTTCTCCCTGGAAAGTTCGATTGTCGACAATATTTTCGACAGCAGAGTTCGACTGTCGACACTGACATTTGAGTTCGATGGCAGCCCTAATACAAATACATGGTTATGATTTTGTTTCAATATGATATGTACACTGGTACTCACCTAGTTATTATCGCATCCTACGACCCCTTTAGATTGTGGTCGTAGGCCCATTTCATTGGTAAGCCTGTCTTTCTACAATGTCGGAGAATGAACTACGCATTGCACTATTAAGGTGACTGTTAACTTAATCGATTTTCAGAAAAAATTGAAAATTTCACAATCTTGAAATTTTCAAACTCTTTCTGAGAAGTCGTTTTTATTATTTCACATATGCTTGTGCACTGTAATCATTACAAAGACATCAAAGAACAACAAAAACTTTAGTTTGAGAAAAAAAGTGCCGTTTAAAGAATTTGAGAAGATTTTTTTCTAGGAGTAGCCCGTGAAAAACCGCTGATTCAAAATATCTGAACATTTCAGAAAATATACTTCAAACATATATCAAAAACGAAGGAGCAACGGAAATTTGAAAAATTACCCGATAAAAAAATTGGGATCAAAATAAGGAAAAAAGTACACTTCCCAAATTGTTTTTTTTCTATTTTTTTAAATTTGTATGAGAGATTTCAAAATTCTAAAGCTCCTTCCATTTTGGGCTATATTAAAGGGATGTTTCAGAGAAATTAGAAAAAAAAATGTTCAGGGACCTTTGCCGTGCTACTCTTTTTGTCAATTTTTCTGTCACATTTTCAGAGGACTCAAATTCCCATTCCAAAATGTCTGCTGTTTCTATTTGCATTACCACAGTGAGCCTGGTTATATAAATGATAAGTGGAACTAAAAAATTGAGAGAAAATCCAACCAAAAGACAGTTAATTTTGATGGTCAGATTATACTCAAATGCCATGTGCTTCCTGGTTTCGGCCATCTTGGATTTTTTGATTAAGTTATAAGTTACCTTAAATGACCTACCTCGATAGATTCCAGAGTATTTTAAAGTTCTTTTTATGTTGTTAGATCGCCAATTGTATGGATTTATCGGCAGAACGAAGATATTTTAGTTGCTACATCGGAAATATCTCAGCAATTTTCAAAATGTCGGAAGGGGAATTCCCCAGAGATTTCCCTTATGACTGGTGCATGGCGGGAACTGAATGGAGGAATTTGACGGTTGAAATAAGTTAAATATTACACGCAAATATTGCTATCAAAAACGAAAATATCTTCGTTCTGCCGATAAACCCATACAATTTGTGATTCAACTATATGAAAAGAATTCTAAAATACTCAGGAATGTATCGAGGTAGGTCATTTATGTGTGCAATGCATAGTTCATTCTCCGACATTGTAGAAACACAGGCTTACTAATGAATTGGGCCTACGACCACAATCTAAAGGGGTCGTAGGGTGCGATAAACCTAGTTACGCTGACGTATCGTCAGCGTAACAAGATGGAAGAACTTCCAAGCTTCCTTTTCGGCAAGATATTTTTATTTCTCGATTCTACACCGCTTATGAGTCAAGTTGTGGACAATAATTTGGCTCAAATTTATGGAAGATAGTCTAGTTTGAGAATATGCAGGCGATTTATGTTTGGTGTATTAATGAAAAAGCAATTCACATATTTAGTCCCTCGCTTTTGTTACGTTGACGATATTAATTCATGAATATTGTCACATTGGCAATATTCATGAAGATCATCAACGTAACAAAAGCGAGGGACTAAATATGTAAATTGCGTCTTCAATAATATACCAAACTTAGAACCGCCTAACCGTTAAAATGCTCAAATTAAGAGTTTTGTTTTCACATTTTACCAACTCGCGATCTTCAAGGTTATGAACTTTTGGTTCTTTTTATTAATATTTCTCTTTATTCTGACGACTTTTAGAATAGACTTTTTCCGGAATACATCGGAACCAATCAAAATCCATGTTTCAGACTGGAAACCCTGTGAATCTTGGGTAGCCATGATAGTCAATCAGATTTGCTGATATAAATATACCAGGATTATAGCTCCTATATCAAGGTAGTGAGTTTGAAAATCTTGAAGCAGTTAATAATTTTTGCGTCCTAGGGACGTAAGTTGATTTTGATTTTTACGTCCAGCCTTATGAAATTTCCGTAAAAATGGCAAAAAAATGGCGTCAATGCAAACACTGTGTAGTCTATCAATATGGTTTGCCTTTAGTTTGATTCAGTCAGTGATGTTGTTTTACAGTACTAACTGAGCCAAAATGTTGCTTTGATTTTGTATTCTTTATCTCATTTTACCAGAACATGTTAAAATATTTGTGTCTTTTGTTCCAGCCTATAATCATCGATGCCCGAGGGCATTTGATGGGCAGACTTGCATCCATCACAGCAAAAACTATTCTACAAGGTAAGCAACATGAGAAGATATAAATGACATTCATTGAAGAGAAACTGGTGTGAAATATTTTGCCATTGATGATTTGTAACTGCCTTTCGTTTGATTCAGTCTGTGATGTCATTTTACATGCACTACCAACTGAGGCAAAATTTGCAGTTGTATAACAAAATGTTAAACAGTCTTGGTTATCCATAATCACATTTATTTCATTTTGCAGGACAACGTGTTGTTGTAGTGCGATGTGAGGGAATCAACATCTCTGGTAGTTTCTACAGAAACAAATGTAAGTTACAATTACCTGTGTAATACAGAATAAGGGATACCAAAAGCATGTTTATCTGTAGTCATTTTGCCAGTGATGATTTGTAACCGCCTTTCGTTTGATTCAGTCAGTGATGTCAATTTTACATGCACTACCAACTGAGGCAAATACTACTAATTGTTTCAAAGATGTTAGTGTCACAACTTCGTATCTAGAAAATAAGAGATTGTAAGTCTCCAACTTTTGTGGATGATGATTGGTGGTCAACATCTGTAACAAATCGTATGACATTTTGCATTGTTTTGATTTTTTATTAGCAAGATAATTTTGAAATGTGAATATATTTCAGTGAAGTACTTGTCATTTTTGCGCAAGCGTCTGAACACCAACCCTCGCAGGGGACCTTTCCACTTCAGGGCCCCAAGCAAAGTCTTCTGGAGGACGGTGAGAGGTAAGTCGAGACATCCTCTGTTTATTTGTTATGTAGCCAGTGAAATAATCTCGAATGACACTCATTTGATTTATTTTTGCATAATACAATTTTGCCAGTGATGATTTGTTACCGCCTTTCGTTTGATTCAGTCTGTGATGTCATTTTACATGCACTACCAACTGAGGCAAAATAGCAGAAGCTTACACACTTCTAAGTCTCTGAAATTTTGCTTTGTCCCATCCAAATCTAGAAATAATTTAATGTCATATTTTTGTTATTTGTTAAGGTATGGTTCCTCACAAGCTGACCCGTGGTAAAGAAGCTCTGGACAGACTAAAGGTGTTTGATGGCATTCCTCCACCCTACGATACTCAGAAACGTTTGGTGGTGCCATCTGCTCTCAAGGTTCTTCGCCTCTCCCCAAACAGACGAGTAAGTTCTTCTCCTTAATAAATAATTGTCTGGTTAACTATCCCAGCAATGTGATTTGCTGCCTTGGTGTTGCTGTTATCCTGTTCACAATGACAATGAGATGCGTTATATGAGGTTTCTGTGATGATGAACATCTTACCTACATTGTTTGACTGAGTCAGTGATATAACACATTTCTGTACACATGGTACATCTGAGAAACCTCAAATTCGCTCGCTTTGATAACTTTTCTTGATTGTATTTGATAATGGAAATGTGTAATGATATTGTAATAATTGATTTCATGGGGAATTTACCTGGAGTCCAATTCTGAACTTTTCCATAAATTTCTGGCGTAAATAATTAACGATATGACAACTATACAGAAAAGGCAACAACTATTCTGAATTATTCCCTTAACCTGCCCAACAGGGGAATTTGTGTTCTAACGTTGCAAACTAGTGCGTTTTTGACAGTGATCTCTGAATATCTGTGTGCCCATGAAGCCATGAAGACCCTTGGACGTATGGGTGTTGCATCATTGGATTCTCTAAAAAATTGTAGCACCCTTGAGAAAATTACTTCTTATTTCATTTATAGTTGGAGATATATTTTCCCATTATGTCCCTACCATTGTATATATGCCTGAGGTCTGACGTCAATATAGCCTGAGCTTGCGAGTTTACATCTTTGCCAAAATTTGGAACGGATCCCCAGAAATGTTTTAGGGATCTTTGTCTGGTGTATCTCAATCACTTCCAGTTTTTGCAAAATCTGAAAAGGATTTGAACAAACATCAATATGATTGAGCATTTTCACGGGCAATTCTTTCAATAAAAAATTACTAGCTAGATTTAGTAGTTGAATTGAAGGAATAGGTGTTACACTTTGTATTTTATTCCATTGTGGAAGTAATGGCATCAGAACAAAGTCCAAGCCCTAGTGTCTGCCAAATTAAAAAGCCGCCAATATGCAAATAAATGGCAAAATCGCCAAATTAACCCCATCTACAGTATTGAAAATATACGTAAAAATTCAGAAATGGCTTTATCATGAATATACGACAAAACCGTAAATTAACAATTGAATTTACGAGACGGAATAGTTCAGAATCGGATTTGTGCAGTGAAACTTTGTCTAGGTTTAAACTAAACTAAATGTAGGTCGCTTCATTGTCAAATATACTGTACGCCCGGTATTATTCGCGAGCTTTAATTTCGCGGATTTTGCGAAAACACGGTTTCGCGGCTATTAAATTTCGCGAATACTGTATTTTATCGTATTCGGGGATTCCCCAGTATATGATGTCCAATCAAATTGCAGGCTACGATCACGTGAACAATCGTGCGCTTTCATTGCCTCGCATGCGCATAGTAAAGTCATGGAGTTGCACAGTACTATTGAAGTACTATAACTCGATCCAAACTAGTAGATAAAACGAAATGCATCAGAGCCCCGGGTAAAAACAAATTCCCGGGGATTTAATTTGCAATTTCGCGACGATAATTTTTCGCGATTTTAACACCCTCGCGAAAAGCGCGAAAGTTAATCGCACGCGAATAATACCGGGCGTACAGTAACTTGTTTTCCAAAGCTGTGTGGGTGCAATATCCTCTTGCTTCTGTTCTATGGAGAGATATGACTTATCTTGTAAAATGTTTTGTTAACATGGATGTTCAGTTGTTCTTTGAACTCATCAATGTAATTCAAACATTAGAATATGGCAGAAATATATCTTTCAGGTTTCAATGATGACTAAACAACTTACCTACATTAACTGAGAGATCTCTGTGATAATAACATTTGAATTGTATAGATCTGAGAAACCATGAATCCATTTACACCCAATAACCCAGATGCGAGAAGAAATAATCTTGATTTACGTCATTAAAAATTCAAAATTCAGTCAAAGTAATATCATATTTGAAATCTACATGTAAAATTACATCTAAAAATGTGGTTTTAAAAAGTGTTTATCAACTTTGAAAAATTAATTTTCTTTGAAAATGTGACTTCTAGCTCGGGGAGATTCCCCATAGACCCAATGCTATAAAATTACAAAAAATGAAATATCTTTTCTTTTAGTGGACAGATAATATTTTGCTTTACTGGACATATTTTCATTAGTATAAGAATCAGACACAAAAGGGTTATATGAAAATTGAGCCACTTAAATTGATAATATTCAAGTTTAAGGGAACTTTCTTATATACCTGCCATGTTAATTGACCCGAATCAGCCACCTGGTGGGGAAACTGGTAACTACCTACTCGCATTTGGGTAATTGGAAAAATAGAAATATCATGAAAATGGCATATTTCGACAAAATTTGGTCCAAATTGTAAAAATAAGAATTGCAGCAGCTTGATTAAATGAGCATATGTAATGTGATCATCTCCATGTGTAGTTTACATGTACCTGTGTAACAGCATGTCATTGTCATATTTCAGTTCTGTGTGCTGGGACGGTTATCTCATGAAGTAGGATGGAAGTACCAGAACGTGATCGCCACACTTGAGGCCAAGCGCAAAACAAAGTCCAAGAAATTCTATGAAGCCAAAAAATCTAATGCGGTATGTTTTTTGTCACATCACGTATGTGTGTTAAGAAAGATAATAAGTTTTCACCAACGTAAATTTTGCCAATGATGATTTGTAACCGCCTTTCGTTTGATTCAGTCAGTGATGTCATTTTACATGCACTACCAACTGAGGCAGAATTTTCAACCACCTAGAAAACCTAGGGAATGAGTCAAATACTGATATTTTTATGCAATATTTAGGTTTTGATAAGATCTTTCTTCTCATAGACATTGAATTGTAATTTTACCAAAGAATTTTACATCTGATAAAAGTAACAAAATGCTTCCTAAAAATCTACTTGAGCCTATATTGTATAATTGTTTTGAGTAAAGAGTATCTATTTCAAGTATGATTTCATTGCAATTCACTGCAAGAGTATAAAGCTTATTTATAATACGGTTTTATGATTTGCTTCCAGAATCTGAGGTCTAAAGCCATGAAGATTGCTATCCAGAAGGCACCAGAAGCACAAAAGGTTATAGAAAGCTATGGATTCGCTTGAATTTTATCTGTACAGACTATTTAAAAAAAGAAATAAAAATGAAGTGGACAGTATTTTTGTATAATATGCTGTTTTGATTATTGGAAAATATAAGGATGTGGTCAGAGTGCAGGGGCCATACTTGCAATTTCAGTACTATGGACCACATGTGATATGGGTGTTCATCACAACATCAATTATGTGTATGGTGTCTTTAAGTCTATGTTGAGAGAAAATATTCTAGCATAGTAAGAGCATTCAATATACAGTTAGCAAGTGTAACACAGGCCTTGAGTTTATTGATTTTCTCCCTATATCATGACATGTATAATGTCGAGGATCACTTGTTCTCTATTAGTTGCACAAAGATGAATCGTATAACCGGCCATGCAACATCAAGATTTATTAATTCTTCATTTCTGTATAGAAATATCAAAGCTAAAACATTGCTAACTCTCACTTAAAAATCTTACCTACTTTAATACTGATTTTGGAAGTCCACTCCACCAGCTCCATTGATGGTCTCATTTTTGTAAAGCATACTAGGCTAGTATGCATAAATTAAATAAAGTCCATCCTGAGGGGATCAATGATCTTTTATCTCACTAGCATCAATGAACAGTTTCTATGTAGATGGAAGTAACGGATTCATTTAAGCAAAAATGAAAAAAATACAGTTTCATTTATTTATTCTTTCCCCTGCCGTGTGAGAACATGGTGAAAGTACAAACCTTGTCCCGATTGTGCCAAGTTTGACTCAAACCAATGATCAAATGCAAGAAAGTAACCTGTACAAACAAACTAGGCCTAACTAGTGATAAGCTGAACGGCGGTAGCAAACTCGACCAAGAAATTGAACCGTAAGGTGCTGCCCCCTTTAATTAGAGATAAAAGTTGGAAACCATAATATGAATATGATCGATGGTGTATTCATCAGAATCTGATCCTAGCAATGTTGTCATCTCAATTTTAGCTCCGACTACGCCGCAGCATGTTAGTTTGCTATATTAGCTGGTTTTCCAATACATATTTTAAACAATTGGAGCTAAAACATGTATGACATACACCAATATGCAGTCTCCATCTCACTGGTCCACCTATGCAGACCGCCAACATAAAAAGTTGGATACCATAACTGAAATGATATCGGGCTAATATTAAGAGTTATTTCCCGGACAGGACAGGCGGAAGGATGTTCTCTTGGTTGATTGGATAATTAATAATGAATACAACACATTAAATTTTTATTCTGTATGAACTTTTATATTACATAAAACAATCTGATTTCCAGTAAGGCAAATAACACTGTAGACAATGTAATGTACTAGTCTACTAAACACACATTGATGGCATAGTTCACTATTGGCAGTAGTAGGTTAATCAGTCTTCTATCATACATTTTTTAAATAAATATTGTCTCTGTAGAAGTAATTTCCTAAGGTTCATTTAAATCATGCTTTGGCAGCCAGTCCTTTTAAATCTGCAATGCACTTTGATATAGCATCTTTTTCCTGAAAATAAATAGACATTTAGCCAGTGTTACTTTCTCATAAAAGATATTAGTTCACGGTTTCAAAGGAAACAGTGAATACTGTAGATTGGGTTAATTTGGCGCCCGCTTTAATTTGGCGAAATTGAAAAATTCGCCAATATAAATCTCCGCCAAAATTTAGAATGAATCCCCGGGAATCATCTAGGGTATTTCGTCCAGTGTATTAAGGTCACTTCCGGTTTATTTTTCCAAAAATATGAAAAAATGTCTCTCATAAATTGGCTCAGAACTAGTCAGTCACTCATTTATACTCAGGGAAAAGTAGCAGCATCGATTGAGGTGTAAAATGTAAAGGATGATCTCACAAAAATGTACAAACGTGGTGAATATCATCAGTGGTCCTCAAAAGAAAAAATGAACATAGCCAAACATGCCCATTTAGATCTAGATCTACATGGTATTTCGCAAACAGCGCGTAAGTTTAACATTCCATTAACATTTTTTTTGCATATCCGCCAAATTAAATAGCCGCCAATATGCCAAAAATGGCAAAATCGCCAAATTAAGTAGCGCCAAATTAACCCAATCTACAGTAATAAAAAAACTCTTATTCATCTTTACAAACTTGTTTCAGACATTCTATTCTGTTATCCTGTTATATTCTCAACAGGATGTCTTACAAAATCTGATTAAACCTGGTTGTTGACATCATTTTGGCAAAATATCATGGTACATTGATATTTGATCTGGACCTTGAATGGGTAAAATTGAACTTACTTGTTGTGGGGTGATTCCTTTAATAACATTCTGTACAATCCAGTTAACCATGTGCTCCTGTTCAAACCTAATGCGTGTATTCTGTCTGTCTAGTTGGTAGTCCTAAAAATAAATGTATGTCAACTTCAGGGAAAATCATGTCTCTCTTATAAGACAGTCTATTTTAATTTGATGAAGAGTTGGGAGTACATTGTAGCTCCAAATAGCAGTTTAAGTTAGAGTTGAAGCGACGGTTATATCCGCCATTTGTGTCAACGGTATATGACTTTACCGTTGTCAGGCTATTCCGGTGTGATATTTCAACAGGTACTCTATGCCGATTGTACTACAAAAGCCAGGCTGGGGCAGATGTCAAACTAGTTTTGCACACAGTTCTGCACCCGTCTCAACCTAACCCTCATAGATATAGCTCTCTGTAAATATTTCCTTGGGCTGCTTTTTTAATGTGAAAGTACATGTATAGGTCATTTGCTTTGTTTCTAAATCTAAACACAGAAATTACACTCAACAGTTACTCACTAGTCTTGATTTGACAGCTCTGTAAGCCTCACTGAGACGTTCCCTATATTGAGCTTCTAACTGCAAGTCAACATTCTCCTACAATGCAAAAATACATTTATGTGAAATTGCTTTGAGCTCTTGTGAACACACTATAATTGCCCAGCCATAAAAACCCGTAAAAGTATGTACATGTATTATACTAGTATTCTTTGTAAAATCAATAGGATTGATGAGAAATCTGTAAAAGATCAAGTTCAACTTCAGGTGATAGATGGATGAATGAATTAAATTAGCAGTATTTTGACCCCATATTGAGGTCATATTGATTTTTTTGATACAGACAAGCAATTTGAATTTTGGAGCCAATAATAATGATCATAGAACTGATGTTCTTTTATATAAAGTTCACCAAAAAGGCTAACAGCTGTATTGATCATCCTCATATTCATAATAATCATATAGAACTTTAAATACAATAAATAGACTTGGACACAAACCTGTATTTATCAATAATTGAATTCTGACAGAAATAATTACTACAAAATGATAAGTATCGATGCTGCGAAAAATGTAGGGTCTGAAAATTTTCTGTTAAGAAACTTTCATCAAAATGTAAATTATGGGCAATTTATGTGCTAATGAATAAATTATGCAGCATTTTCATAACTCAACAGGGTAAAACTGCGCTATTCTAAACTGCTTTAATGCTGTTTAATATTATTTCAAAGCAGAACTTATGCATCAACAAAAGTCAAGTACCTCATGGACTTGAACATCATTTCAAAACTAGCACTAATGATTTTTCAATTGACTTGTTTTTACACTCGCCAATGAAAAAAAATTACACTCACCACAGTGTTGCCACTGATGATAGATTATATGTAAACTCAAAAGTTTTCTTGTGAATAAAAATCTTTAAAAAGAAAGTATTATGTTCATCAACGTACTTAAAATTGACTTTCTTCTATAATATTCAACTAGACAACAGCAACTCCAAAGCGTAGCAAATCCCACCAAACAGCCATGGCTGGCATTTTTACCAATAAAGTATATAGCAAAAATCGTGAAATAACCCAAAAATGGCCACCATTTTGAAAATGGTTGCTCACTTTAGCCAAATAGTCATAAGAAAATGTAATATGCTTCTTAGTAGGCACATATAAAATTTCAACAAAATCGCACACACATACATGTATTAATGACGGCCATTTTTCAAAAAAGTCACCTACTAGACAAAATGTCATAAGACAGGGTGCCACCCTTATGAGTATTCACATATCAAATATGAGAAAATCGCTTTTTAAAATTACTTTTCAAGTTATAGTAAAAAACACAAAATAACACATGCAAAATGGTTGCCATTTTTCACCACCTAATCCCCAAAGTGTCGTTAAACAGTATGCCAAGCTTATAGTATTTACATATCAAATATGAACACAATCGCTCCACTACTCTTTGAGTAGAACTTCTACCCCCATAGGGTATGTGTGTACAAAATATGAACAAAATCGGGCTAGCGATATTTGAGTTATTGCCCGGGCGGATGGATGGACGGACGGACGAATGGAGGTATTCTTCCCTATATCCCTCCGAACTTTGTTCAATGGGATAACAGTGGTGAATTTCATGTTCGACAATGTGGCAAGGAACTTCAATTTTACACTCGTCTCAAATATTTACATCTACCTTGGGCAACTGTCGATTGGATATGACCCACACTGAGTCTCTCACCTTTTTTGCCTCAAAGAGATGTGTTTGTCCCTCTTCCCTCCAAAGACCTTCATCAATCTGCTTGATCATTTCCTTAGAGTTCACTTTGGCATCTTCAATAGGTTGGTGCCATTTGGCTTTCATGTATGACTGAAAACAAGAAATATTGATCAAAATCAGAAATATGATCCTCTTCTTGGAGACATTTATAGATGCTTTGTAGAGTTTTTCTCTAAACACTATATCCTTTATTCATTTCACCAGAAGACAAAACTCCTTGTATGAGCAAAGAACAATTTTTTGCTTAATCACAGGCTGGTATCGAAATATTTGTCCGCTGTGACGGAGCATGCTATTTTTCATAAAAACACAAAGAATACTTCACGATTTATTTTTTAACTCATATGTTTCGTTATGCCATACAAAATTACTTACTCCATGCAATGGATATATCATTTGCGGGTAACTTTCACTTCTGTTTGAAGTCCAATTACGCTGGGAAGAAAAGCTATTGAAAATGGCGCCGGAGTATCATACTTCAAAATGTACCATTTCTTGTTTAACTTTCTAATGGCACGATATAGTGACACGATAATATTTACACATGGTTTCAGCATAACTATGAAGGTATAAATGAGATGTTGATGTATTTGGTCTTTTTAATTCTTTTATAAAAAATAATGTTTAATTTTTTTGTCCGCTGTGACGGAGCAGTTGCAAATGTGAACTGTGAAAATGCTCCGTCACAGCGGACAAAAAATATTAATATTATTTTTTATAAAAAAAATTAAAAAGACCCAATGCATTAATATCTCATTAATACATTCAGAGTTATGCTTAAAACATATGTTAATATTATCATGTCACTATATCATGCCATTAAAAAGTTAAAAAAGAAATGGTACATTTTAGAGTTTGATACTCTAGCGTCGTTTTCAATAGATTTTACTCCTAGCGTTATTGGACTTCAAACAGAAGTGAAGGTTACAAGCAAATGATATATCCATTGCATGGAGTAACTAATTATCTTTGATATAACGAAACATATGAGTTAAAAAATAAATCGTGAAGCATTCTTCGTGTTTTTATGAAAAATAGCATGCTCCGCCACAGCGGACAAATCTTTCGATACCAGCCTGTGTTAATACCTAAATATATTTTGGTGAAAATGTGATATTTTCAAATGAGCAAACGAAAGTAGATGTGTATACATTCTAAACAGCCATAATATGTTTTCAGATCTAGTTGATGTGTGGAGACTTCAAATGGAAATATATTTCTCAAATGGATGTAAATTCTGAACTACCAATTATGAAAAAGTCTAATATTTGACGTCAAAACTAGAAAACTACTTTAACTGCATAATTATTTTCAAACAAAAAACTAAAATTCATATTTTTCATCAGATTAATTCAATAATCTAGTCTGGCCTGAAGTTTTTGACCATGTACTGTACTTACTTCTGATAATTCATCTAGGTATTTTCCAATGCTTGGACCGAATTTTTTAGCTACTAAGGCGAACATAATCCAGAAAGAGATGAGTTCAGAAAATGTATGGTCGATGACTAATAGTTCTTTAGAAAAAGCTGTTAAGACAACACCAGTTCCGAGTACATATGGACCTGAAATGAAATTAAAGAATTTCAGACTGGAATCAAATATGCTCAAAGGTTTCCTCTTGTCATGTCTATTACATGGCAGGGGTTTCATAAATAGGAAGTAACAGGCAATGAACTGCCTGACTTCTTGATTTAATATACAACTTATAGAGTGTTAACGACACCCTTGATGACACAATCCTTACTAACTCTATGGTGATTGATTCTTAGATTGTCCACACTAACAGCTAAACTTGCACTATGGATTTCACAATATTGTGGTAATGCAAGTATGAATGCTATCAGTGAAGGTATATTTCTATAACACACTAATGACTCATGCACTTCTGATGGTACAACCAATAAAGTTGTTGGACACATTTTGGATGCAAAAACATCTTTTAACATAAGTCCCAGAAGTGGATCTAAGGAATGTGTATGATTTAATTCTATAAACTTAAGACACATGTTTCATTTTTCCATATTGCTCAGTGGAACCCTACTAAGCCAAAATTTCCTAAAATTTAGTCAGAAAATAATTTTAATGCTAATTCTCCCTTTCGCGGTTCGCTGTTTGAATCAGAACGTTCGCAAATATGTTCCGAAAAAGCACTCAAAAAGGACAAAATTTGATTGGTCAATATTTTCCCACTATGCATTTCGCGTAGCTATTTGCGTGACCCGAAAGTTCTAAATCAAACTTATTACGAAATTTTGTTTTTACACCCGCACGCTAAATAAAACAATGACACCAATGGAATTATTCTTTTTTGTCATTGCTTTAATAGTCAGTATACCGAGTTTAATCAATAAAAGATTGTACAATGAACAACAAAATTCGGAAACGAGTACTATAGATTTGCTTTCGGACCACTGAACAGATTGACCTAGATAATAGCCACGCGTCTTCTTTGGTCTACTGCTCAGTTGTTTTTGGGTTTTCAACGTAACTCTATAATGTAATTTGAAGATGAACACTTTTATTCAGTTGTCGCATTGATGTTGCAGTTTGTAGTGCGGTAAGATTGGCATGAAAGTATTGAAAGTCGAATGGAATTGTTTTTTCCAATATGGCGACTAGTCAACTGATCACGTGACCTTCTCTTCCGGAATATTTTCTCACTTTTCCATCGTCGTTTTCACCACGCTATGAATCAATACAATGAAAAAATAGCTGTTATATTAAGATTAATATGAGATCAATCGTTTCTAATAATTTTTTCTGTACTCTCGTACAGGAATATGAACGAATATATCGTTTGAAAAATTGGTGTGAAAATCCCCATGTTAAACCTATGAGGGAAAACAAGGAAGTATAAATTTGTTCCTCCGCGAACTGCATCATGGGAAATATTTTGACCTTATAAGGAAAGATTTTCGCGTCTCCTCTTTTGACGAGGGAACAACGATTTCGAGAATTGAAAAATGAACTTTCTTCATCATGTAAAAGTTCAGCTTTTTTGATGATGGAATAAGGGTTATTCTTGTCTCATTTCGAACCCGCTATATATTTTTGATGAAATGCTTTGACAATGACAAGAGACATTTGCAAGTGGGATTTTATTATCAACTTACCAGAAACTCCAGTTTTTTCTTCTAAGTATTTAAACCAACTTTCTGGGAAGATTCCCATTCTAGTATTTGGAGTCTTTTCAGCCATTTTGGTGATGGGGAAGTTTTTAACATCACGCTCTGGCCCATAATATATGGCATTGGCTTTGTCCCATTGTTCTGTAGAACCTGACCTTGCAGCAACTACAATCACTGGATGTTTTGTGACATGCTGGCGTAGTACAGCACCTGTAAATGAAAAAAAAGTAAGTTTATTCAATTGGTAGCAAAAATGTACAAATAGATTTTCAGGTATGTTCGACCACTAGGTCATACACTACTTGAGATCGCTGCAGTGTTCTCCACATGATTTTTTCTCAAGTGGGTGCAAAATTCTTATTTTCAGAATTCTTACCGAAATTTGTCAAAATATGATTTTTTCTTGATTTTTTGATTTAAGTGGGTGCAAATGGATTTTCAGGTGAGTGCAAGTAAGTCATATGGAGCCAATCACCGTATGCTGTTATTTGGTGCTATTTTTTCTTATTTGGATATTTTTATCTCAATTGGAGATTTTCAGGTAAAACCGACCACTACTACTTTTTTCATGGCATGACTGCGTTGGTAGAACTTGAAATTTAAGAGTTACTTGAAGATAGGGAGTCTTACTTTCCTTCTAGACACTAAAACACACATTTCAATGAAACCCTATCAGATGTGTGTTGTTCATGATGAAGCATAAGGGGAGGCATCAAAAGTTCGATGTCGGATAGAAAACTAAATAAATCTAGTTAGGGGGGAGGGGGTTCAAACCCATTTCAGTTTGTTATCCGACAAATTTCAACATTTCAAATTTTTGGCAATTTCGACTCAGAATGCCTTGGAATGGTTTAAAAATAAAGATTTTACCTGATGCTTTCTTCATCAAGATCATTCCAATGGATTCTATTCTATCAATAGTTGTTAAAAGCCGCAAATTACGATAGAAATTAACAAAAAACTAGATCTTGTTAAGCAATAATTTTTCAAATTCTCAAACCGGAAGTCAGTGATCAACTTTTATGGTATTTAGTTTTGGGGGGGGGGAGGGGGGGGGGGGTCAGAGTCAAAACTAGATTTATTTAGTTTCCGATCCGACATCGAACTTTTGATGCCTCCCCTAAGCAAAGTACTTGATTGAAATTTGTGTAAATGCTTTTTGGACTTTTCCATTTTTCCTCATCTTGATTCAAAGGCGTTGCCCCTATCGCAAAAAGAATGTGTTGACCCTTGAACTTGTCTGATGTGAAAGTATAATATATTAAAAAAGAATGTTTTTGCCGACGAGTTTAAGAAAGCGTAGAGGAAGATGGCCAGTTGTAAGACAGAGCTGTTGGTCTGAACAAAGTGCTGAGTACAAAGAATGAATGAGTAGTCTGCTGTGTAGTGGTGGGACTCGCCCGAATTTTCGGACTTGATTATCGGGACCAAACTGACGACCATTAATCGAATAAATTCGATTTTTTCCAAAGTTTTGAAGGGAATCTCCCAACCCGCTGCCAACCACTTTTTTGATGTAAATCATCGATGTTATTGAAAAAACAAATAAAGTGCAATGTGTTACATACCTTCAAACATGTTTTTTGTTTATTTTATCAACTCTAAAGGCGTATAACAAATAAAAAAGACGACCGGGAGTAAAATTTCGACCTTATTATTATCATACTATAGCATTTCGTACAGAGCTCACTGAACAAACTGCTTTTGGAGATAAGGTTAGATCCCGGAAGTAAAAGAAATGAACAAAAACAAATTGGTTTCTACATGTTATTTTACGTTTTATTAGCTGATTATAGATCAACATGTAAGTACTTTTACAGTAAATAGTGTTCCTGACTCGAATTGACGTAACCAAACTCGAATGGTACACAATTCGAGCCGAAATCGGAGGTGAAAACAAAAATCGAATATCAAATTTTTTTCCCCAAACGAGTGATTATTCGAGTTGCCGATTTATCGTAGCACCACTACTGCTGTGTTAGTCTATTACTACAGTAGGACCTGATCTTGATGCTTTACAATTTAGACCAAAATAAAGAAGAATAAACACACATGTAAATCATAAAATCAATGAACAATCATTCAATTTTCACATAGGGGAAATGGTCCTATCATCGCACAGGTACTCTGGAAAACAACTGACAGTTTCAAAAATGATAACTTCAACTTACTATGAGACTATGAAACAAAAGATCAACCTGTCTTCTAAAATTTAAGTCGTGCTTGACATTTCTCAATCTCCGAACACTAACACTTAAGTCTTTAAGACCCCTTAGACTCGCATGTGTGGTGGTCCTAATTATCACTCAGTCGTAGAGCTGGCATCGAATAGGATTTTAATGTCGACATGTCGGAGCTCTCGATCGACAATGATATCGACACTGTCGGGTCCAATGATATTCGAAAAATGAAAAAAAATTTGAAGAAAATCCGTCTGAATTTTAGATTTTCTAGGCTTGTAATTAGCAATACGATGCACAATAGTCATCCTCAGTTGTATGTTTTATATTTAACTTGCAGGTAAACCATGTTCAAGTATCAGACTTTGACGAAAAAGCAATAAATAGACATAAAACTACGATTTCTGTTGTTATTTCTGGGCAGCCATTGAAAATAAATCTCTAGGGTAAATCTCGAGGGGCCCCGAGACCTAATTCGAGAGCAGGAAGTCGATCAAAACAAAAAAGAAAATTTGAAATTGTAAGCGGTAAAACTTCACTAAAATACACCATACAGCAGGTAGTAACAAAGATTTTAATTCATAGGGAAATAGCTTATTATGTTGTGAGTTCCGACTGTCGATCAAGAGGCGTTGTGTCGACATGGGTGTCGCAGAGAGCATTCGACTGACAATCGACCATTCCGACATTTGATGCCAGCTCTACTCAGTCGTCCTAATTATTGCATGGTTGTGTTTCGAGTGGTATTTCATGATTCTATATACATATCACTGTGTTGATAATAGATGTATACAAATGCTATACACAATCATTTTTGTATCTGTTTTAGTGTAAAAATCAACAAAATATACCTAATTCACTTACTTTTCTATCTTTATTTGGAGGGGGTCAAACTTTGTCAGATGAATTTCACTTCTTGCACAATTGCATTTATGACAATAGCGGAAGTAAATAATTTTTAAAAAATGAAGAAATATTTCTAAATAATAAATCATGAAGATTGGGAGTAATGGTATTGAGCTGGTGTTACTAACACTGGTATAACACTGGTATTTTAACTATTTAGGACAATCATGCGATAATTAGGACCGCGCGATAATTAGACCATTTCCCCTATGGTCAGGAATTTTTCGTATTGAAACTTCAAGACCTCACATAGTCCAACAACATTAGACCTAGCCTGGGCCTCGTTTCTTATCTGACATGTCTTATGGCCCCGGCTAGGTCTAACCTCCATGATCATTTTGCCCTTGATGCCTTAATTTAATCGTTCAGCAGGTTTCGACAAGCGGAACTAATTAAACCCTGAAACCATGGTCATATTACACAAAGAATGTGATTCAAGCATGCATACATACCTTATGAATACATACACACCATCCCGTATCCCCTTTAGACCCTATTGATGCATAATTACGGAAATATTGGAGACAGGTTTGGAATATAACGAAAATGTCGGTCAGTTTCGGTAACATCGAAATTGCAAATCGTATCAGAAATTAACCGTCATCGCGGCACTGCATTTACAAAAAGTAGGATTGCAATTAATAACTATTTTGCGTGTAAACACGCGCTATATAAATCAATCAAAGATACCTGCTATCCTCAAAATTTATCTTTTAATGCGATATATCACGATAATATTATCAATCTATTTGACAACAATTTCGTTTCGCTAGTAGTTTAATTTTACGATCCGGGACACTCGGACGAACAGACACAATGACGGACATGCGGAAATGTCATTTTAGAGATCGGTAAGTGTAGCCTCATTTTACGAGTATAAATGAACATTTAACGCAATAATATTGTGTTAAATCGCTTGATGTTATGTGTTTTTATATTATTGTCAAGTATCAATTGCACATTATCGCGGCAAAATGGTTTCGATGGATCCAGAACTTGCATCAACATGATCAAAGGAAAGAATAGCAAAGAGGTTAAACTCAATAACGGCCCCAAGAAAATTCCTAATAGTAAAGAATGCCGTTATTGAGTTCAACGACGTTGAAGTAGACCTCACAAGGAAATCATTCAGTTTCACAGTTCATCTTGTGCTTAATGCTCAATGGTTGGCGGAAAATAGGTGATAGGGGATCATTGAAATGTGTGTTCTAAAGTCTAGGCTAGAAGACTCCCAATCTTCAGGTAACTCTTATATTTCGAGTTTTACCTTCCGACGCAGTCAGGCCATGAAAAAAGAATTAGGTCATAGGGAATGTGACAGGTCATAGGTAAAGGCTTTCTTGAAAGCAACGTCTGTCTATATCTAATTCAAACGTTTTTATTTAATTGTTTTTAACCTAGGCTAAGCGAGCCCTAGGTCCATAAGCATAGATCTACTGGCCAAAATTTGTTTTGGGGAAAAAAAATAAGACAAAATTTGACAGTGGGTATGAAACTCACTACAACAGGCAGAAAATTAAACAATATTCAGCATCAATACTTATCAATTAAAAGAGATATCATTTATTATTTGAAATTAGATTGTTTACGTACCCGTTCGCAGTGCGAGCCGAGAAAACATGTCGATTTATGAATTTTTCGCCGGCTCCCGGATTCAATATGGCGGCGGGAAGCCGTGATTTTAAAAAGACATCCCCGGCATTGTCGTTATTTGATTCGGGCACCTGTAACTTACCGTCAAGCAGTCGAATGTCAACATGGAAAGTGACAGATTGGAAGTTGTACACAATACCGTCGATTTAACGGTGAATGCTGAGCAGTATAGGTGGGTATTATATTGCAATATGTACATGGATATTTGAAGGACTTATGTATATAGATGAAATAACTCAAAGAATTCGGGAAAAATTGAATTTTTAAATTTTTTGTACTGGAAGATTTCAATTTCATTTTCAATTCAAATGTTCAAATGCCTTGTCTAGGAAAAGTAATAGTAAGCTTAATATAAACAAGAAAATACAGCAAACCCCTCAAGTCGAGATATTCAAGTCAAAAAGTTGCCTGGCCCAGGTTTACAGTAAAATTTTAAATGTTTGGAACTATAGTAGTTACTATAGTATAGTAAAATTCATAGATCCCGGCCAGATTCTTTTGTAGTAGAATCAGTAGCTCAATAATATTTCCTCAAGATGAGACACCTCAGAAAATTTCAAATTTTAAAATGACGATTCTGGAGCCATTTCTGAAAAATATGAGACAAATCATACATCATTCGAAGGGTCTTGTTATTCTTTACCTTTTTTATCACCAATGGCCGTTATTCAAGCAATACTGCGTTGATAAGAGGCCAAAACAGTGATACTTTATCGCCGGACTCTTGTCTGTCCAAATCTGAATGTTGCTCCCGTGGTTCCAGAAATGTGACGTCATCATTACAATGATATTTGGACACACAAGAGTCCGGATTTCGTGAAAAATATTCGCCGTATTGAAAGTCAAATAACTGCATCCATAGGTTATTTACTCGAACCAAACAAGTAGAAATAGAAAGATGAAGATCTCAGCTATAAAATAAGTGCAAAATCTGTCACGGGGAAACAGGTACCATTTTGTATAAGGAACGTTTTGAAAGGTGGTCACTTTTTTTTCGAAATTTTCCAATTTAGTGTCGTATCTTCTGTATTATTCTTTGAGCCTATGATCCTACTACAAAACGATCTGGCCAATATCTGTGGTAAAATTGTAAATGTTTGTGTTATCGAATTCTACAACCACTTTAGATTGTGGTCGTACGCGCGGACCATTGGTCAGCCAATGCTTTTACAAAGTTGGAGAAAATACTACGCATTGCACACCTAAATGACCTACCTCGATACATTCCATAGTATTTTAGAATTCGTTTTATGAAGTTGAATCGCCAATTGTATGGGTTTATCAGGAGAACGAAGAGGTTTTCGTTTTTGATAGCTTATTTTTTAAATTCAAAGTACTCACAAACATTTAAAATTTTACTGTACTGTAAAATAAGCAATCAACTGACTACTCCTCATTTCATGTTAAAAATAGCAAGAACTTAACTTCGACATATAAGTGTTACCTGATGAATGGCACACGTGCCTTCCAAATGGTAGTAAACGAACTCCAATGTAACTACATCACGTCATCAGCTTATCTTTCCGTGTGATCAACAATAAATTTAGGTACAGTTATACAAGAAATGTAAACGAACTGAAAACATTTCCCAAAATTTTCCAACTGCCTTGTCATTTCCGGAAGTTATGATTTGTTATATTACCGAACATGTGTGAAAATGAAATGATTGTTCGCTATTTTACGAGAGCTAAATAAAGTGTGATCATCCGAGCATCGACCATATTGACCACATTTATGCATGTCCTAATTTGTGTATATTTTAGTTTGTTTTGTAGTTTAGCTATCATATCTGTGGCCTCTTATATTTTGATGCTTCTCTGCCATGTTATTTTCTAAAAATTAACATGGCTGAAACTCCCTAAATTACAAAAGGCCACAGCTATTGCAGCACATTATACATGAAATATACAAAAGTTAGGACTTTTGCACATGTTTCCATTTTTTCATATACTGTTGCAATATAGACAGTCATTATGTCACCACCAAAAAGTGGTGACATATTGTTATGGTCTCCGTTTTTTTTTGACGGCAGTTGGTTGTTGGCAGTTGGTGGTTGGCGGTTGGCGTCTGTAACAAATTCTTACAACTTCCAATAACTTAACAATTACTGTTTAGACTGACTTCAATTTTTTTCAAAATCATCTACATGTTTTCAGAAGTTCAATTCTGACTTTGTTTTAAGATTTAACCTTCAATGACCTTTTCAAGGTAAAGAAAGTTCAAAAAGGTCTTTTTTCAACTTGCTTCAAATTGACCATTTTTTCAAAATCATCAACAAGTTCTCAGCAGTTCAAATTTGACTATAGATTTGACCTTCAGTGAATTCTCAAGGTTAGAAAAGATTTGACCTTCAATGACAATCTCAAGGTCCAAAAGGTCTTTTTCATCTTGCTTCAAATTGACCAATTTCAAATCTGACTTAAGATTGAACTCATAATATTGTGAGCAACTAGGTGGTGACATTTTGTCATGTTAATGCCTTGTTTGATTGCTTATTTTTATTTAAATTCAAAGTAGTTCCAAAATTTTTAAATTTTACTGTAGGTAAATGATACATATTAAAAAGTGTATAAGGAATATCATATTAAGGGTTTTCAAAAATATTCGCTGCACTCACTCATGAAGATATCAATATCCTCTCATGGATATAAATGATATTTTATCAAAACCATAGGATATTCGTTTATTATCCTACACTTAGTGTACTAAATGTATAATAACATGAAAAAATAAATTTGATATTTATTGGCAAAATGAATATCCGGAGGATATCGTAACGATATACTCCGGGCGGAGGATATCGTGACGATATACTCCGGAAAACCCAATATGCGGAGGATATTGTGACGATATACTCCGCTTGTTGATTTCCCGCCAAATTGACTCTATTTGGCATGGAATTAATTTTACAATGATATTATACATTCAGTACACTCCTTGTAAGTGTAGGATAATAAGAACATCCTATGATTTTTTTCAGAATATCATTTTAATCTACTCGGTGATATTGATATATGCACTCGTTCGCTTCGCTCTCTCGTGCAGATATCAATATCACCTCGTAGATAAAAATGATATTCCTCAAAATCATAGGATATCCTATAAATATGTATACAACTTTAGTGCAATAAAATGTTCATGATTTTGATGGGATAACATTTTTTTTAATTTAAATTTTTTTTTTTCATTTCATGAATTGAATTTCCAATATATTTTTTCAGAATCTGAAGACACATGTTTTGAAATTGGATCTTTCCATTAAAGTGGGCATAGGATGTCAAATTTTGAATGCTGTTAATGTGCAGTCCTCATTCATGTAAAGTTCTCAGTTTATTATATGCATTACTCTTTGTACTAAACCTTCATTTGTTTATGTCTCAAATGCCAGAACTAAATCAGTTGCTTTAAGTTAATGTATACCCTAATTGAATATGTGGACCAGTTTGCGATCAATAGCGTGGCATGCAATATATAGTGATCCATAATTAGTAGAGACATCTAGAATGAACTCCAAATGCCTATTTATTGATTAGTCATTATATTGAGCAACAGCTGTATCATGGATGCATTTTGCTAGAAATAGAAATTATGAGATCATATTAGGTCAATTCTAAGTCACAAAAGTGATGGCCAGGTCATTTTGTTTTGACCATCAAAATTGGCTGAATTTGAAAATACTGATCTCCAAAATCTCTAATCATTCATTTCTTCACCATTGACAAATGTTGTATTGCTTTATCTTTCAAGGAAAAATCTAGGACAACAGTGGTAAAACAACACCCATAAACAATATCAACTCATTGAATAGATATATGAAATGTAAAACGAATTAATTGCTTCCAAAGAGGAATGTAAAAATGATAAGCTATCTAGCTATTTACTTTTCTATGGAGATAAGTAAATATTACAGACTTGGAAAATCCTTTCCTTAAAAGTGTTACCTTTTTGTCAGTTACGTATTTATTTCTTGAAAAATTCTGAATTTATTCCTAATATAAAGCTTGAACTTTGTACTTATTGAAGGAAACTTATAGTACCCACAAGAGCTGGTTTTCTTTTTGACTTGATTGACTTGATTGATTACTTTACTTTTTATGCTTTGCTTTGTTGTTGTTTTTTCTTCACAAGCTTTATTCATGGTATCTTTGGTTAAGTGATTGCTTAATGCCATATATGTATGTAACCACTATCTAAATCATAAAGAGAAACCTAGATTTACTTGATATGATGAGTTTTTTGCAAGGACTATTTGTTGCATTAGGAATAAATCCATGGAAATAAATTATGAAGAGAAGTCTGAACCACTATTCTGGCTCAGCCAATATCCAATAGAACTACAGGGAGGCAATAGTGGAATATGGTGTGATCTGGCCTCTATAGCTATAATACATATACACATATTGTCACAGTTCTCACACATCTAACATGGTGGCTTTCATCTAAAGTAAAACCTAGAGAGGAAAGGAGAGGAATCACAGAGACATTCACGGAGTAAACACCGCAGTGGTAAAGACATGCAAAAATGCCAACATTTTAATAGATTATCATGAAAAATTATGTGAAAGTGAGAGTCGACAAGGTCGATCACCTATTTCATTACACACGTAGTTAATCACAGGAACAAGCTGTTTGAGGATTTAATTACAGTAGACACCTGTCTTGGAACCAGAGACTCCATTGTTCAAAGAAAAATAATTAGTCATGGGTTACATTATACTACATGTTTCATGTTGATCGATGTAAATGCAAAATGGGACAAGGAATAATTCCTTAGAGTAACGAGAAAATCAGAAATTATACAAATGTTTCATCGAAGCTAGAATCTAGTAAATCAGCATCAATAAATGATATTAGTTCAATCAAGTTCGAATTGGTGGAAAAAGCTGTAGGAAGAATAAACCTGTCGCTAATGGATTTATAACATTATTGGAACAATTACCATACCAGCAATCTCAACAATATACAGTATTATGTTATCAAATTGGTGTATATTAAATGTGTACCATTCATCATATAAAATAATGGATAATTTATAAGTACAACTTGGAAATAGCTACCCAAAAACACAGTGATCGAGTAAATGTTCTCTGTTCCTGTATAAATTACACATCTGAAAAAGCCATTTAGATTGAAAGTTTTGAAAATTGTGTCATATGGAATGGTGTACTGAGGCTTACAGAATGGAAGTGTTGGTTGATGAATTCACACGTCATAGCATCAAATCACCTGATACCACTTATTCAAGATATATGTAAGTTTCACTAATTACATGAATTATCATATGAGTTTAACACGGGGTATTTCTGGCCGGACATAATATGTACCAGTAATTTTGTAATATCTCCATTCTGTACCATCATTTCCTGGACATACGGGCGGTACCTGTGATTTTGTCCGGTCCATATATCAATTTCAGTAAGGCTGTAAATTAATTTTAAAAAAGATTTTTATTGCTCTTAACTTCTTATATTGTAGCATACTTTTCCACTCTAAGTTTTGATCTATATCTTGTGAGATGTCAAGATCATCATCACTGTTCTGCTGGTCACTAATGCCAATGTCATTCCATTTCAAATCAGAACCAGAAATACTCTCACTGGCAGTGTGGTGGGACTGCTGAACAGTCGAATATTGTCTTAACTGTTCAGGGTATATAGGTAGTATGTACATGTATATGGCACTGCCGAATCCAGAGGCTAATAAAGGGGAGGGGGGCAAATTTCAAATCAAAAAAAATTATGCGCATAAAATTTTTTGGGCCCCTAAACCTAACAATCATTTATTGATTATTTGGCTTAAAAAGGCCATGTTATGCCCACTAGTTGAGGCCCTACTTTTGGGCCCCAAATTTTTTTCTTAAAACATATTAAAACAAATTAGAGGTTTATTAACGGCATCAACTCAAATATATATAGAGCAAGCTGTTGAAGTAGGAATTAAATCTAGTATACATCCTCTGACTATAACATAAATTTGCTATTACATGCAGTCATCAATACAGTTCTATTTTCTCTTTTGCTAGTCTAGACATTGATTTTTCATCATTTATTCATTATCCGATATGTTGCATGTGGGTTTTAGGCTACAACTTGATATAAAATAATACAGCTCTGAATCTCAATTATGAATGTTTGGCTCTTGGCAATTCAATAATGCACCTCAACAATAAGGCATTGTGGCACCTTAAAGATATACCATGGGCTTTCAATTGAATGGCCATGGATACACTTATATAAAACAACTTGAAAAGTAACAATTTAGCACACTAGCATTCTGAAAGATGACAGTGGTACAATATCACTTATATGGTACAATATTACTTATATGGTACAATATTACTTATATGGAACAGTATTACTTATATGGTACAATATTACTTATATGGTACAATATATGGTACAATATTACTTATATGGTACAATATTACTTATGTGGTACAGTATTACTTTTATGGTACAATATTACTTTTATGGTACAATATAACTTTTATGGTACATGCAAGACAGATGCTTGAAATAGACAGATAGAGATGTACAGTGTCAGATGAAGATTGCGTCTATTCTAATTTAATCAATGACAGCATTGGTAGGTGTATGGGAATTACATATTCTTGAAACACTCTCCAGGCATTTATCGAAATAACATGCCATACATGTACATATGTCAAGTTTAGTTAATATGGGAAATAGACAGAAGATTTGATATAATTATTAATCTCCACTACATGTATATGTTTTTGATGCTTCACATTCTTAAATCATGGAAGTTCTATGCAGAATTGTTTTTAGCATTGTGGGAAATAACCGAAGAACTTATTGCTGGATTGTTCTACATTCATTTTCTGATTGTTTTGTAATTATACAGTGTATACATATATGGCTTTAACTATTTATAAAGGTATTTCACCCTCTTCTTTATGACACCTTTGAATAAAAATTAATTTTTGACTGCAATATATTTGTCAGCAATTTTCCTAAGGCATAATTAAAAAAACACTTTGTCAACCAAAGAAGTATTCCAGCTCCATCTGCCAACTTGAATCTGTCTGTCTGTCTGTCTGTCTGTCTGTCTGTCTGTCTGTCTGTCTGTCTGTCTGTCTGTCTGTCTGTCTGTCTGTCTGTCTGTCTGTCTGTCTGTCTGTCTGTCTGTCTGTCTGTCTGTCTGTCTGTCTGTCTGTCTGTCTGTCTGTCTGTCTGTCTGTCTGTCTGTCTGTCTGTCTGTCTGTCTGTCTGTCTGTCTGTCTGTCTGTCTGTCTGTCTGTCTGTCTGTCTGTCTGTCTGTCTGTCTGTCTGTCTGTCTGTCTGTCTGTCTGTCTGTCTGTCTGTCTGTCTGTCTGTCTGTCTGTCTGTCTGTCTGTCTGTCTGTCTGTCTGTCTGTCTGTCTGTCTGTCTGTCTGTCTGTCTGTCTGTCTGTCTGTCTGTCTGTCTGTCTGTCTGTCTGTCTGTCTGTCTGTCTGTCTGTCTGTCTGTCTGTCTGTCTGTCTGTCTGTCTGTCTGTCTGTCTGTCTGTCTGTCTGTCTGTCTGTCTGTCTGTCTGTCTGTCTGTCTGTCTGTCTGTCTGTCTGTCTGTCTGTCTGTCTGTCTGTCTGTCTGTCTGTCTGTCTGTCTGTCTGTCTGTCTGTCTGTCTGTCTGTCTGTCTGTCTGTCTGTCTGTCTGTCTGTCTGTCTGTCTGTCTGTCTGTCTGTCTGTCTGTCTGTCTGTCTGTCTGTCTGTCTGTCTGTCTGTCTGTCTGTCTGTCTGTCTGTCTGTCTGTCTGTCTGTCTGTCTGTCTGTCTGTCTGTCTGTCTGTCTGTCTGTCTGTCTGTCTGTCTGTCTGTCTGTCTGTCTGTCTGTCTGTCTGTCTGTCTGTCTGTCTGTCTGTCTGTCTGTCTGTCTGTCTGTCTGTCTGTCTGTCTGTCTGTCTGTCTGTCTGTCTGTCTGTCTGTCTGTCTGTCTGTCTGTCTGTCTGTCTGTCTGTCTGTCTGTCTGTCTGTCTGTCTGTCTGTTCTTGTCCAAATATTGGTTGATGAATTTGGTTCAAAATTTATAGGCTTATGCCTTATGCCATAAGACTTCTGCCTGAAAAGGAGTTAAGGACTTAAAGTACTGAAGGGTATTGCCTAATAATTGCAAATTGAACACTTGTTGGTGTTCGCTGTATAAAAGGCACAATCCTGCAAAAATACTCAAGGGTACACAGGTTGAGGTCAATATGTAAAGATGTTTGCCTGCTTATATAGTAATCAGTGTTGTATAAATCGTCACACATTTTTAAAAGTGAAATTTTCATTTTGACAAAATCAGTAAGTCTTCAAAACTGTTCTTCTATTTAAGGCTTCTAGTATTCTCTTCATAGCAAGCCTTTATTAGACCCAATCCCCCTACATGCCCTAAATTATCTGTCAGAATGAAATTATATTTTGATTTGTTATTCCAGGTTGACCCATGATATCAACTTGGACAGTATGAGTCTAGATTCAACACAGGAGGTAGACTCCCAGCATGCAAATCTGCAGTACAATGGTAACCCAGGGGGCCAATTGCGGGAAGACTACCTTGGAAATATAACCAATACAGCTCTAAGTTTACTAGATGTAGAGCAAACTACAAATGATGAAAAAGTTCAGAAAAATATTGATTATATTCGTGATAAATGGAATGGGGATGTAACAACTTATAGCAGTCCTAAGAAACAACGAAACTCTGAATTTGGAAAGTTACATCAGAATGGTAACTCAAGTACTCATGTAAGTATAACTGTAATTAGCATCTAATTTTTAGAGGAGGGGAATTATAATGGGATCTGAGATGGGATCACAGACCTGCAAAGCTATATTATATTTGTTAGCCTAGATCTCAACTTAGGAAAACTGAATATGTATGCTACATTATACTGACCAGACATGGAGTTTAAGATACTCTTTTTGGACTACCTGATTGAGACAACTTGCTACCATCCATCAAACATCTAAAAGAATATAATTTTTTTAATGAAATAAGGTTTTGTAGATGGAAAATACAATGAAAATGCAGGTAGGGGACATCAACTTTGGCATTTAAGAATGAATGTGTTATTTTCAAATATCTGCATGACCACACAGCAAGAATGCAAAACTGGGGAAACAATGCCTGAGTGGAATAAATCAGCCACAATGCATCAAGTCTTGGGCTAAAATTATTTTGACACATAGCAAAATATTTTCTATGAAATCAACTTAAAGATATAATACGGAATCACAAAAAGAACATATTTTAAATGAAACTTTTTGCAAGGGTCAAGTTGATAAAGCATCAATTTCAATCTGTAGAGTCAAGTTTTCTCAATGACAAAATCTTGGGTGCAGTGATGGTTATATTATGCAGTGCAGTTATATGAAATACTGTGTCCGGATTGGCAGGGATCAAGCACACCTTGCCTCGCTATCACAGATTTGCTGGAGCCATTTATGAGGATCTAATAGAGCCTTGTTCATGGTCGAAGAGTAGTCAGAGGGAGGCTGCTATTTAGTGCCAAAATATAAATTCTAGTGACAGTATCAGTCCATATATTCTGTTGTGAAACCAGGGTATTTTATGAAAGATTATAGGATTTCTCTGAAGTATTAGTATTGATTGCTGATAAATTTCATCTTCATTATCTTATCTCTTCTGGAGCCAACTTGATTGCATGGTTAGAAAATGGTAATTGCAAACTAAATGATTAACTGTTTTCGCTACCAAAGGTCCATGATCATCAATAAAACAATTTGTTTCTACATTTTTGTTGTCTTAAGTGGTTGCCAAAGGACAACGTTTTTGAGAAATAGGACTAGACTAAATGTTTTACAAATTTCAAAATATGGGCTTACATGAAGATGCTTAAATAGTTTGTGCAAGTGAAGGAAAGGATTAAATGAAAGATGTGTGACACTCATAGTCCCCTTGTTCCCAATGTCAGCTGGTTCACTTCTGAAAAATTAAAGAGCAGAATGACAACCCTTTGAACTGAATTAGTATGCCCATAAACAATTAAAGGGCAGAATGACAACCCTTTGAACTGAATAAGTATGCCCATAAACAATTAAAGAGCAGAATGACAACCCTTTAAACTGAATTAGTATGCCCATAAACAATTAAAGAGCAGAATGACAACCTTTTGAACTGAATTAGAATGTCCATAAACAATTAAAGAGCAGAATGACAACCTTTTGAACTGAATTAGTATGCCCACAAACAATTAAAGAGCAGAATGACAACCTTTTGAACTGAATTAACATGCCCGTAAACAATTAAAGAGCAGAATGACAAACTTTTGAACTGAATTAGTATGCCCATAAACAATTAAAGAGCAGAATGACAACCTTTTGAACTGAATTAGTATGCCCATAAACAATTAAAGAGCAGAATGACAACCGTTTGAACTGAATTAGTATGCCCATAAACAATTAAAGAGCAGAATGACAACCTTTTGAACTGAATTAGTATGCCCATAAACAATTAAAGAGCAGAATGACAACCTTTTGAACTAAATTAGTATGCCCGTAAACAATTAAAGAGCAGAATGACAACCCTTTGAACTGAATTAGTATGCCCATAAACAATTTAAGAGCAGAATGACAACCTTTTGAACTGAATTAGTATGCCCATAAACAATTAAAGAGCAGAATGACAACCTTTTGAACTGAATTAGTATGCCCATAAACAATTAAAGAGCAGAATGACAACCTTTTGAACTGAATTAGTATGCCCATAAACAATTAAAAAGCAGAATGACAACCTTTTGAACTGAATTAGCATGCCCGTAAACAATTAAAGAGCAGAATGACAAACTTTTGAACTGAATTAGTATGCCCATAAACAATTAAAGAGCAGAATGACAACCTTTTGAACTGAATTAGTATGCCCATAAACAATTAAAGAGCAGAATGACAACCCTTTGAACTGAATAAGTATGCCCATAAACAATTAAAGAGCAGAATGACAACCTTTTGAACTGAATTAGTATGCCCATAAACTTACAGTTTTGAGGAAGTCTTTATTTATTTTTTTATTTCATGATATTTATGTCCTATTCTAATTCTCGATGACACTATTACCATGTAATATATCTAGTATATTTCCTTTGGGATACATTCCATATCCTAAACATCTCCTCACATATCTCTTGTATATTTTACTGCAATTTTGATTTGCTTCCAGTCTAGTCCAAGGTCAAAGAGAGGGAAGTCAGCGAGACGTCCAAGGAAACTTCCAGAAATTCCAATTAAGAGAACAACCCCCTCTCCCAGTGTGTCAAAACGTAGCTCAAGTAAGAATATTTGTAGATAAAACAATATTATGTCTTATGTACTTATCCATAAAGTTTAATGCATTATGGAAAATTCTGGTCAAAATTATCAATTAAGTTAGCTAACATGCTCAAATAAAGATTATTTAATTATGTAAATGACATATCTGGCTTTAGTAGTGTACAGAGAAGGTATTGGTCAATGTTGTTAACTTGTTAGATTGATTTTCAATTGAGCAGTAAACCAAAGGGATGTAAGTCATCTGAAGATGTCATTGCTGAACTGTTTCTGTCAAACATTAGAAACATTGTGGATTGTGGAAATTCAAAAATGCTACAGTACTGGCAGTGGTTAGTTGTCTCATTGGCTTTCTAATTGAAAGCCCATGGTTGTCTATATAATTTGAAGTTACAAACATATATTGATGTTTCAGTGTCTAGTCCAATGTCAGTATCTTCAGAGGGGCTCATGGGAGAGTCATATGACAGTACAGTTGGCATAGCAACCAGTAACCAATCACTAGCTGAGGAATTAAGCAATGCTTCTGGCGTAGGGGACTCTATGAAAGCAAATAACAGAATCTCAATGAACTCCGATATCTCAGACTTTAGTGTAGATAGTGGACATGGAAGTGAGCATACAATGGAGAAATCTCAACAAAGAATACGAACAATAAACGGATCTTTCAACAATAATGAATTTGTCTCATGTGCTCCTGATCCTGAGTTTATAGAACAGCAACCCAAAATAGACACACAGCTAGACCCAAATGTTCAACCAAGTTTTGATAGTAGTAGTAAATCTCAAAGCACAACAAAAGCATTCCTTAGCTCAAGTAATCAATACTTAGTAGAAGATAGTTCACCTGATGAAAAACCACAAAAAGTGACTAATAAAAAGACTCATAAGGAGAATCTGACATCACCAACATTTCCTGCTATAGACCCTGAGGTATATGAGGCCACACACAGGGTGGTTCATAAGTTCCTGCCAAGACATGATGATGAAATGGAACTGGAAATAGGAGATCCTGTGTATGTCTATGATGAAGCAGATGATCTTTGGTGCGAAGGTGAGTGCCATGATGTTTGATTTGAAGAATTATGACAAATATGATGGATTATGTGAAGGTGAGTATTGTGTTTTCATTAACTCCATTTTGACCCAATTTAAAGGAAATTGTTGAAGCTGGGACCAAGAGAATATCTGACTTTCCATCCCTGGACTGCAGATATTCTTCAGTACCCTCTCTCAGTGATGCATTCCATGACACTGAGTTTGAAACATTACTACAGAATATAACTGATCATTTTCCTTTGGAAATGGAAACAGCTAGTTCGCTGAGCAGTACTGCAGCATCCAGTCTCCAGGAAATTGATTGTACTTTGTAAAGAAAACAATTGTTAACCTGTGAACAGAAGAGTTAAAAAAGTAGTAGCCTCCTTTGATTACATTTCCAAAATGTAAATACAGGGTGGTCAAAAATACGGCAACCCTAATTTTTCCTCATATCTTTGTCATTTTTGAAAATTTTGACCTGATATTTGGCACACATGTACATCATTCAATTTCATACTAGACTGTGTTATTTAATGAACATTGGACTGATAGTCGCAATGTTACAGCACTTTAAACAAGGTGCCCCAGTTTTCCAATATCGTGCTGTAGGCAAACCTGCACACGTTTTCCAAACCTGTCAATGACATAACATCATTCCTCAGTAAGTATGGCCTGAATGACACATGTGATCTTTATTTCTAGCTCAAATGTCTTTCTGGTGTTATTACCCTACACCGTATCTTTGGGGTATCCCCACTGGTAAAGATTAAATGGGGCCATATCTGGGCTATGGGGTGCCCATTCATTGTCTGTTGTACTGCTGATAATGTGGTCATTGAAGTGGTTCCAAAGCCATTATTGTGCATCATTTGGTGTATGGGGTATGGTTCTGTCTTGCTGGAACCACTGTGACTGCCTTTCAACCCCCTGGGTTTACCTAAAGTCCTCAAGAACTCCATGGGAATCACAAAATAGAGTTTGATGTTGACAGTTATTGCATATCTGTTAGCATCATCAAAGGTAAAGGACCCTATCTTCTGAGAACACACTAATCTGTGCATGTCTTTGTGAAGGTGCCTCTCCACTACTTCATAAAGTGCTTGGCTCCCCAAGAATACATACTTGTTAGAGTTTACCAGTGCATCAAGTTGGAAATGGAGTTCATTTGGATAACAGACCAGCTCAGACAGCCAGAAAGTGGCCATCTGGGGTATGTTGCTTAAAATGCAGTAATATTGTGACTATCAGTCCGATGGTCATGAAATATAGTAGGTTGATAGGATATTGAATGATGTACAAATGTGTAAAATATCAGGGAGTTACTTCTTAGAATGACAAAGATATTAGGAAAAACTAGGGTTGCCGTTTTTTTGATCACCCTGTAAATAGAGAAGTTGTCATAACTTTTTAAATCCTTAATTATAAGTGTTGGCTACGGGTATTTTAGTTGTACACAAACTGAGCAGGTCAGTGCCATTCATAATATCTTCAAATAAAGTATTTTTCCTTTCAATGCAAGTCCACATGTTACTATGGAATGACATATATCCCCTGGAATGAGCCAGTCCGGTAACGTGTGTCTTTAACTGGTGAATAAGTTAATAACAAATGGCACTGAGCTGCTCAGTTATGTACAAGACATTTGGGACATTTTGTTACCGTGAGATTTTCATCTCATAAGTGCATCTTAAATAGTATAAATCATGTTTGTTTCAGGCGTTAATCTTCGAACCCAAGAGAGGGGTATCTTTCCCACTGTTTATGCAACAGATCTCAGCTTCTTGGAGGATGAAGGTAAGTACAGACATGTTGCCTAGTGAACAAAAATAATGCTGTGTCGTGTTTCTCTATTTCTGTGATCTCTGAAGCATGCTGTTGCTGAACCCACTTAAATTTTTTGAAAATGGACTTTCACTCATTTGAAGAGCCATTGCGCACTTTAAAAAGAACATTTTGCACCCCCTTGATGAAAATCCTGCTTTATATTAGGACACTGAATTTAGCATTCCTCACAGGCAAATTAAGTATGCAAACATTTTCTTGTACAGAAATTTGATTGATCAAAATTTTATCTTAGTTAGTTGTCCATTTTGATTATATTTTTTTAAGAGAGTTTTTGTATACAGTGAAACTTGTAAAGTGGTAACCTCTATAAGTGGAACACCTCTTTTAGTGGAACACTTTTCAGAGTCTCAAGACCAATTGACTTTATGTTAAATGAAAGGTACCAAAGGTGTTCCATTTAGACAGGATTTACTGTACTGATTTACTATTTTATTAAATTATGTCACCACCATAACATTTTTCATTTAAATTATGTCACCACCATAACATTTTTCATGTTAATGCTGTGTTATTGGAAGAAGACATTTTTCACAGTTATTTTCTGTGTTGTAGAGGATCGTAAGGTGAGCCCCAGGAGGTTTTACCTTAGGTTCCTAGGCTCTATAGAGATCAACTACCACAAAGGCAATGATGTTCTATGCCAAGCTATTCACAAGGTAAATTGTTACAACATTTGATGTGCTTGATGACACTTCAGGATGTTATGATTTATTTTTTCTATTATTGTAGTCTATGATGAATATATAATAAATTGAAATATTGCATAACTAAATATTTTTGGTATTAGAAATACAAATTTACAGATTTTATATGCTGCTACCTTGGAGACATATAAAATGCTCTTCCCAAGAAGAAAATTTCAAGATGGCTGCTATGGCTGCCACCATATTTCAGAAAAAATGGAATATTAAATAGCTTAAATAACAGTTGAATGATAAACTTCAAATTTTATATGCTGCTGCCTTGGAGACGTAGTAGCTGTGCTCAAGAAGAAATTAGCAAGAGCTTAATTTCAAAATGGCTGCCATTTTCTTGAAAAAAGGATTTTTTTGAGCCTCAAAAAAAAGTTTTTAAAGAGTAACTCGCATACATATATGTTTTTATTAATTTTCTATTGAACTCTTGTTTAGGTTGCTCATACAAGGAGAATGACAATGAATTCTGCTGTGCCCCCATTATGCTCCCTAGAGATAACAGAATATGGCATCAAGATGACTGATAAGACAAAACCACAGGTATTCTTTTAACACTCAACAAAAAGAAAGATTTTCTAATCTATAAAAGTAAGTACAGGTACACAGTTTGGCAGAACTTCTTACAACTTCAGGATTTAATTCTTCAATGATCAAATTTTGTTATTTTCAGAAACCAAAGAAAGCAGATTCTCCCAGTGCCAATTTCAACATTAGAAAGAGAATAGCAAAGATTCTGTCAAAGGTAGGAGCGTCAACAATACAGAGTGGGCCAAAAAATGTCCATATTTTTTATTTTGGTATAACTTTATTATATAATAATGCATGGAATCATTTTTGCAATAGACTGGAGGCAATTGATTGAGGCTATCATTATACAGTTTGCATTTTCTTACATTGATCTACACAGTGATTTAATGTATAGATCTCCCAGCAATCTACTGTAGTAATCCAAACCAAGAGTGAGCAAATAATTGTTTTATCTTGCAGCACAACAAGGCAAGACATGATCATTTCTTTTCTCTGAAGAATGTCTCATTTTGTGGCTATCATCCAAAGAATGAAAGGTATGTACATCATTATATAACATCAGATACCACTCCCAGATTAATTTCTAATTCTGCAAATTTTTTATTATCTCATAGAACGAAGTTCGGAGGGATATAGGGAATGCCCCGACATTTAAAAATGCCCAACTTTTATATATACATGTTTGCGATTTTTTGAAATTTTAAATGTGCCTTTTTAAAAGCATATTACACTTTCTGATGACAATTTGGCTAGTGAGCAACCATTTTGAAAATGGTGGCCTTTCTAATGTGTGTTATTATTTTACGATATTTGCTATGCATTTCGTTTGTTAAAATGCCAGCCATGGCTGTTCGATGGGATTTGCTACGCTTTGGCGTTGCTGTTCTCTAGTTTTAAGTGGCTTTAACATTTTATTTTTGAGGTTTTGAAGTTACATGTATTGTTAGTGAGCCCTATGAAAGCATTACAGTAGATACAGTAATTTCATATTAATTTCAGATACTTTGGGTTTATAACAAAGCACCCTGTAGAGATGAGGTTTGCATGTCATGTGTTCATAGGAGAGGACTCTACTAAATGTATAGCAGAAGCTGTAGGGTAAGTACCTCTTGTGCATATAGAGGCTCCATTTAGTATGCTTGGTATATAGTCAAAACATGTTGGGTAAGTACCTCCTGTGTTTATAAATGAGGACTACGAAATATAGCAGAGATTCTTTACAAATAAATTGCTAAATGAAGTGGTACACCATATGGTAGAATCTGTAAGGTTTTCTATGATTTTTTCTGACTGATATGATACTTTGTCACTAACGTGTAAAAGTTAATATTTTTGGGATTAAACCACAACACCAACATAGTACTATTTTTATGGCATGGTTATACTTATAGTCTCTTACTTTTTTTGTGGACGATGTTTGGCATTCGGTAGTTGTTTGTTGATTGGTGTTTGGTGGTCAGTGTTTATCATCTGTAACAAATGGCAGAAAGTGACATTTTTGTTAATTCCTTGTTATTATTTATTTTCAGTAAAGCCTTCAAAGCGTTCTTCCAAGAGTACATGGCGTTCACACATCCAACAGAAGATATCTATCTGGAGTGATGTATGAATATGTGTACGTGTTATGGTTATAATGTGATATTCCAAGCACATTGACGCTGATGTTGAAAGTAAATAAAGAATAAGGCTTTGTGGCACATTGTCACTGTCAGTGATACATAGCCAAATATTATTCAAACTCACTTTTGGGAAGCTAAAAATATAATTTATTTGAATGGATGAAAATGTTATAAAAGTGGTCATAAGCTTTAACAAAGAGGTTGAGGAAGGTGTGTAATCCTTTGTAATGGCTGATTCATTTACATCCTGTGGATGTGGACATACCCTTGCTAAAGTAAATCATGAACAAAGTACACGTACAAGACATAAATAACAGTTCATTCGAACTGACTGTATCAGAGAATATTTTTATATATGTCTCTGACTTTATATAGAGGGCATTGCAATAGGTACAGTATGAACAGAGTACTGACAAAGACTGAAACACCTTACTATTACTATTAGTTATGCATTATCTCTGATGTGCTTATATTCCATACAACTTACTGTAGTTGTAAAATGATATGTTATAAGTCTTTTTAGGTTATATCTTGGTTTATTCTCTTTATCAAATTTATAATTGAATGAGAGTGGTATAAACATTAGTGAATATATTATATACATGGTACAGGATGGATTGTGTATGATAATGATATACCATTATGATCTCTATATCACTGTTCACTCATCGCATACAACTATTAATTAAAGTCAGAGTTAATTTTACATTGTCATAAGAGGCACCTATCAATATACATATATGGGTGTAATGAGTATCATTGAAGTCTGATTTGCATTATATCAAAGTATACACTCACTGAGTTTTGATCTTACAATTTTGGGTTTTGTGCAATTATTTATATTTTAAATATTTTATATTTTTATTGTTAAAATATCACTTTTTACGTTATGGATCCGAATGTTTTGCATTACATGTAATTTGATATTGTACAGGCAGATAAGTGTTTAGGTTAACAATATTGTCTATCTTGTAAAATGGTTGCCACTTTAATTGCTGAAAATGTTTTTAGGTATTTTTGGTCGCACTGGATAAGTGTTCAATCCAAATTTTGCTTGAAATTGTACAGCTACCTTATTTTATAAGATAATACAAGTCTACAAAATGGATTGCAAAGATTTGAAATGATCACACCAAAATAAATTCAAAAGTATTGATACATGATAAAGTTTGTATTTCATCAGTATGATTAATATGATAGAAATATATTTAATAAAAGTAATTCTTAAGCTCTGTTTCAAATGTTTCCCTTGCTGGCAACTCTTCCGATTCAAAGCTGTGCATCTCTCCAATTTAGTATGTTTTGGCTTAAAATTTAACAGTGCTAAACCTCCTGATGGGGAGTCTGTCAACATAAATGTAGTAACCGCATACCTACTGTAATAAGCTTGGATGGACAGGCCATCTTGGAAAATTGGCATACACTTAAGAATCCGGACTCAGTTTGCTGTAGAACAAAATGATTTTCTTTAAAATTCAGTGTGGGTGCTACAAAACAGGGGAATTCTAAAAATAGAGGGTTCCATTTTAATCACCCTGTAGATCAAAGACAAAGAATATATATTTCATGACAATATTTTAGAGAAACTCAACTTAATCTAAGAACACAAATCCTGACCTCTTTTGGCGAAACACATTAGGCTAAATTGGCCTTAATATACAACACCCACAATAAATGGATGCCATCTAAGCAAAACTGATATCCAAATATATCTAGTTTTTTTATCGTACGTATTGAAAACATACATCATCTGCTGACCATGAACGACTTTTAGTAATACCATGGGCTTTCAACTAGAATCTAATTGAATGCCCATGGTAATACTGTAAGACCACCAATCATTGGTAAAACAATGATGGAACAAGTTAGCTGTTTGTCTTTAATGTCAACACCACAAGTGGTGACACTGTTATAGTCTCCAACTTTTTGGTGTTCGGCGTCGGCTTTTGGGGGTCGTAGTCTGTAATAAATTCTTAAAACTTCCAGTAAATTCAAGTTTAATTTGAAAAACTGACAATTCTGCTCTTACAATTCTGCGTTGAATCAAACAAGTTGAAAGTGAAACATTTCTAATATTTTATTTCCAACTCAACAAAGGATGTTGATTAATGTGACTTACACGTAGGTATGTAATGTGCATTTTTGGATCTCAGGACCTTGTCCTGTTCGAGATGCACGAAAAGTCTATTATTAGATTTGACGTAATTGTTCAGATATTTTAATGTGATTGACGTTTTCGGTCATTTCAGACCACTGTAACTTCCAACTCAATTTTCGACCGCCAAATGTGTTGATTCAAGAAATGATATTTAGGTCAGCTCTGATCGAAACGAAAATCATGCTAAAATGTCAAATGTTGTGAAAAACCATGGGTTGACACGCTGATATTTGGAAGTGTAATTTTCAACATCATTTTCGACTCATGTTAAAAAGTGGTGAAAACAAGGTTGAACGTTAAACATTGATCCAGTTACCGTCTGTGTCCTTCAATTAGAAAAATGAACATCTATAGATTAAAACATTCATAAAATCATTTAGAACAGAAATATTTGCTTATGTAACATTCGTTGTCATGTGTCAGTAAGTTGATAAGAAGAATATTCTTTTGATTCTATATCTTGTTCTCAAATTAGGAATCTGGTAACGGCCGCTATATCTTAACGTTCGTCTTTCAGCTCGAACTCACACAAAATTCAAATATGCCATCAAATAAAATAAAATGCTGGTTTAGAAACGAGACTTCAACGAGTTTTTAAAGCTATTTAGTAAACCTTCTATTGGAATTACACGAAACATAGTCTTTCGCATTTGAATCGCGCGTCATTTCATACCTTCACAGATAACGCAATTCAGCTTGTGTAAGAAAACTCAAAATTCCCCAAAGCAATTACATTATCTCTGGCAGGCTCTCAGTGCTATCTGCGCTATCATAGACCACGATATGGTTGGGGTTTGGATACTTACGGGAAACAAGTAATGGATATTGCTAATTTACAGTGATTGCCGAATACAGCAGAAGTCGGAGTACTTTTGGCAAAATTGAAAGCAGTTCGTCTCGGCGGGGAAGAAACAGGGAACAAGACTTTTTCTGTAATTTTACTGCGAACTAGAAATTGTGAAATACACCGAATGCATCTTTAAAACATCTGATACGTTTTTTAAACATGTATATTTCCCACGTTCCATATGGTAACTTGTTAAACCATTCTCATTTAATGAATTAGGATTAGACCAAATATGATGGAATTGCTACGGTGGCAATGTGATTTGTATTTAGCATGGTGCCACATACATGGCTCCGATGTATGTTAAACACAGGAAACTGAGACAGCTTCAAAATTAATTTCTTGATTTTGACACAACGGGCAAGGTGACACTGAGATTACATCTCAACATGGCAATGGGACGAAGATGACATCCATGTCCCATTTGGTCGAGACTGAAAACAAATTACCACTTAGCCAGGACTTTTAGCATGAATAATTGAAATCAACGGATTCCATAACAATGCTTCTATATTCTATATGCGTGCATGTCTGCAAATTCAATTATCGTCAACCACCACTATAGCTACGTATGTCTACCTATCAAAAATAACCCGATGGATCTCGAAGGAGGATGGGCGAAACGTGAATTTTGAGACTAAACAAATATAAAATATAGAGAAGGATGTATTTTTCTACTAAATGGCTTCAATATTTCCCATTTCTATCAGGAGTATGTATCTTGTTAACCGAATTGTGCTTTGCAGGTGATAAAGTCAATATTGGTAAGTATTTTTCTAAAGTATCAATACTTTTCTTGAAAATTAACTAGTGCAGGAGTGTTTAATACATGTACAGGGTGGTTCAAAAAAGTGAACTGCTGCAACAGGCTATATTCCCCGTTACCTGCAGGAATCCTTTCATATTTTCACATGTTTTAGAGAAAGGTCTAAAAAATTTGTTGGTACCATACATTTTTCGTAGTCTTGAAATTTGCAGAAATTATAAGCCCTCACCAAACATCACTGAAAATCGATAAAATGGAACTTCAGCATTTGCGATTTGTCAACCCTCTTGTAATTTCTTCAAAATTCAAAACTGAATAAATTATGGCGTCAACAATAATCTTAGGCCTTACTCTACAAGATATGATAATATGACCAAATTCATGCATGTATTAAGGAAATTATAGTCTGGTGCAGGGGTTCACTTTTTTGGACCACCCTGTATTTAAAATCAGTTGTAGATGATAGATTTCATATTATTTTAATAGCATCCTTTCACATCATTTTTTTCCATCGCAATCTATTGAGGGCGTATTTCCCTAAATACACGACACCAGGGCACTGAAATGAATTGGTATGAGTTCAGTGGCGTAGCCAGGATCTGACTTGAGGGGGCTCGAATATTTTTGGCAACATTTTTTTAGGAGCAACCTAACGGTGAATTTGGTGACATTTGCTTAATCTCTGCCTAATTTGCTTGAATTTTGACTTTGCAAAGTTGCTTAAATGTTGCCAAATTTGCTTAAATTTTTGCCCAATTTGCTTCAATTTTTGCCCAATTTGCTTAATTGTGGTCCATTTTATTAATTTTTTCTAGTTTGCTGGAATCTAAAGTTTTACTTTTGCCAAACAATTGCAAGAGCAAAATCATAAGACAAATGAAATATCCCAATTTTTGACCAATTTCGTTCGTTTGAAACATTTATTGACAAAAATCAACAAAGGCCTTTTAAAATCCCTTTAAATTTTATCATTACAAAAACTCCCCGATTTAATTCAAGCATAGGTTGTGTAATGCAATTGTCTATTTTCCATTACTTGCACCTCCTTGCATAATGTACTCTTCAAATAAATAAGAGGCAAAATAGCCAAAATGGGAGTTCCAATGAAAGAAAACAATTTTGAAAGTGACTCCTGACCAAAAGTAGAGTTTCAGAACTTTGGTGCATCACGTGCATTGCATCACTGATCTTTCACATGTTCAAAATTTATATCATAAATTCGGGACAATGCAATCTTGACCTTATATTCTAATCAGACAGTCTATACTCGGTAATTATGCATTATCTGTACAATTGAATTCCTTTTGATGGCATTAGAACAGTATTTCAGGTTGTTTTCTGCATTCTCAGTAATTTTACTTAAGATAAAGTCATACATCTCACTTATTTCCATATAAATTGCATATACCTCGAATATCTAAGCTAATCAAAAAACGAAAAATTACTGAAATACTGCAAAATATCAACTCAAAATTTGGGGGGGGGTCGCATAATTGCCGGAAAGGGTGGGTTCGAATTTCTTTAGTCAAGATTTTTTTTTGGGGGGGACCCTCCGAACCCCATCTCCCTACGACCCTTGTCATTTATTCCTAGCACTCCATTCATTTGAGATTTAGGTCGAGACTATTTTTCTATTGACGTATGGGTTGTTTCTAGTTTTTTTCTTTCCCCAAAGTTGACCTTGGGTGTCCACAAGTCATAGTTCATTTTACTGCGATGGTTATTTGATTCCGAATAAACATGGTGTACATCATATGCGGGATCATATGTTATATGTAAACAAACAAAGAATTGAATTATTCTCTCTGGATTAACTGTATATAAAGTAAATAGAAATTAGATCGAGACCTTCATTATTTTAGTCTACTTTTGATTGTATTTTTGTTTAATTTCATACTTTTCTGTCTAACTTTGAGTCACTCGATCCTGTAATCATTATAGGTTGGAGTTTTCCTCTGATATAAACAAGCTACAGCTGGACATTATTAAGATGAAATACTCGATTATGGGGATATATCTGTACAATGCAATAATCACAAATAATCAAATTCTTTATTAATACATGTACGGATGAGTTGTGAGGGAAACCATCTCTTGAAAGCCCATGTTCAAACTGATGTAATATAACTAGTCCACTAGGAATTAACGTCCGATGTACAGAGTTGCTGTTCCAATAACAAGTCATACAATGGAAGTAACCAAATATATAATAGAAATCAATTTGTTATCTCCATTCATAGCCTTATCATTATTTCAATTCAGAAGGGAATGTATAGAAAGCAAATCACTCAAGCTGAAGTAATCCCATATTCTGGTGAGATCAACACATGGTCCTTCCGATTATCCTTTTGAAAAATACAACTCAAAATTGTCACGTGGTTGCACCGGGGATCATGGGTAATTGCACTCATTATACCATTATCAAAATTAGCTACTATGATATGGTAGATCCAAGCAATGGGTATTGAATACACTAAGGCTTATAGTAAACATATTTTTTCACTTCAGCACAGAGAAATGAATTATCTTTCGTGAATGACTATTCTTGAGCCAACAATGATTTAATTTGATAAGTCGAGGAACATACATTCCACAACCTAAACGTGAACGGAAAATGTTTAAGCGATGCATTTGTATGGGCGATTGGTCAAACGTATAGGTTGGCGTTTCGATTTTAATTTACATGCAAGCTTAAACTCCCTATTTCCCGATCACGGGCGTGAGTTGGCTTGGCATCGACATCTTGAGATAATGGAAAACCCATATATGCGCGTTCGAAATGGTGCGGCGACACGGAATACTTCCTTATATTTTCAATGATCTTCCCAAGAATGAAGAATTCCTCATCTTGGAATTCCAAGGTGTTATAACACAAGTTGGAGCACTGAAACCTTGTGAAATAAAATGGAATTCCCAGGTCTTGATTTTTGTGCTCTCGCACGTCTTCTGTTGTTTGATCTGAAGGCCTTTTATCTGAATCATTTCGTTTTAAACTAACGATGTATGATGTTTAAAAGGACAACGGTACTTGTCTATAGCCTGAACTCATTGATTCCATCAATAATGTGGGGAATAGTGATATCATCCACTTTTGGCTCAGAATCATTTGCACTGGAAGCACTTTTTTAAATTGGAAAATTTGGAATTTATTTTTTACCTTTCTTTAAAGGCATAACGGGAAATCTATCCTTTGCATTCGTTCGACTTGTTCGACTTCACTTCTTAAAAGAGATCTTCGTCTTTATAACTAGACTCTGCGCGCATGGTAAGGGAAATCACAAATACTTTATCTTGCTTTGAACCTGAAACTCTTCTGACGTTCCTTTGAATTTCTTGTCTGTATAACCTTTCCCGACTTTCTAATATCATACGATTCAAACCTTCAGGTCACCGTGGAATATTACATCTGAGTTAGAATCTATGCATTCTAACATATATCACTTAAAGCTTGCGCTTACTCTATTACAAGTGGACTCTTAGACTTTGATGAATTTGCTTTTACCTCGAATTAATATTACATAAATAGAGATAAAACCATAGGCTAGAATAACGACATTGTTATGATGGATATTACTGTGCTTATGGGAACATATGTTATCGATAATGAAATAGCTAGTGGATGCCTAGCTAACTAATCCATTGGGGAAGTTGATTACATATCAGTCAACAAGCAGCTGAGAGAATCGAACAAACACTGAAAAACGCACAGATTGCTTTGGTATAATGTTTGATCTATTTTGATATCAGTTTCAACAATTCTAGACTTGAGCGAGTAACATGATTCGCCAACAAATGTAAAGTTTCAAGCCTCTGATAATTAAAAAGTGTGACGTGTAACACGCAAGAATATTTCAAGGGAAACGTTGCATCACTCATCTTTCTCATCAATTCAATAAAGCAGAGCGTTAACTTATCGTCCCCCAAGGATTATATTGTTCTCATTAAAAACCAGTATTTTCCGGAAATTGATCAGTTACTGGAATATTACGCAACAATAATTGAAATACTAAATGAATCTATAACAATTATTACCACAAATGATACGTTATATTTTAAAACTAATGATAAAGGGTGGCCATTTACAAAACATGCTCAAAGTGAAATGAAAGAACATTGAACAAGGTTTACTTTTGCAAAATATGACTTCAAACCCATGATGATTGACTGAGTTATTACGCTTTGTTTGGTTAACATCTTTTGGCTCATCCTGTACTTGAAATGTCTAGTATCAGTTGCACATAAAAAAGAGTCCATTTCTGTTTTATCTAATAGCATATAGTTTCCATATTTCTTGACATGGTTGTTGCTATTTTAGATTTTATCAATGACTGTACTATACCTTAGTTGAAACCCCTACACTATACATCAGATTTTTCTAGTAATTTACAATCCCATTATAAGCGATCGATTCATTTCTAATTAATAATAGAGAAATTCGTTTTTTACATGATCCTCATATCCCATGTGACACACTCCAGGCGGATAAGCCAACCATTAAACAGGACAATATCATCCGACTCTCAAGGGTCGAGTTATCACCATAATTACATTATTTCAAGAGGCACTATATCACTTTCGCTATTTCTGGGCAATATGGACATTTTACTGGACATGCTTATAAAGTTTGTACTACGCAACAAAAAGCGGAAAAGCACAAAACCAGTGATAACAGCATTGATTTCATTCAATTTACCATAAAGCCATGTGTCTCCTCTTTCCAATGGTATATTGGGTCATGGTTGGACGAAAAATCATTCCTTTTGCACAGTGGGCCAAAATTAGCTTGGGACCAAGTTATAAACATCGCGAGGCCTGATGTAATATTGGAAGAAGATATAAAACCAATGATGACTGCTTACTTTTCATTTAATGTAACTCCTGAGATAGCTCCAAAAGAAAAGGTCAGGTCAGGAGGACTTCCATTAACACCTAACCCTTGCACTGACTTGCAATATTTGAAACTTGGTCCAGAGCCGACTCTGACACACTGTGCAAATGGAAGGATTTCTCACCCAACCATGACCACATGTGAATGAATTACATATCATTGCAAAGAGTAGGGATGTGGCTTCATGGTAAATTAAATTAAATTGATGTAGTCATCACTAGTTTTGTGGTTTTACGAGATAACTGCTTGTTTCGTTTTTTTGATACGCCCTGTGTATGCACATTGTTATGTTTGGCGAAATTACCCAATGAATACAGGCGTTTGTTTACGCTGGTATAAAAACTGGGGGGGGGGTAGAGGGGTAAAATTTTAAAAGTTGGATGCCAATAAAATTGAAATGAAAAATTCATGAAAATTGATTGTTTTATACCTTGTTTCTAATACTCCTTAGAATTCCTTGCTACTATAGTAGCATTTGAATCTGGGTGCTTCTATGGATTTATGGTGATCTGAATTAAAAAATACGATTGATAGATTGGGATATGAAGGTCCATGACGCTTTCTTCAACCATAAATGTTGTAGCAACGCCAATCTGTATATCAAATTGGCTCATAATGTCTTGTTAAGACCGAGTGACAATTAGATTTAAAATAAATAAAAAAGGTCCATGATCTGAAGGGATACACTGTTTTAACAGCATGTCATAAATGGGCGTCTCGGTAACCTGTCTTGAAAACCATTATGTGTCACTGACGCTGTGTCTTCAGATATAGGCGTCTCTGTTAGAACTAGTTCTGTAAATGTGTCGTTTCCTGATATGCTTGATTAATACTAATTGCATTTATTGAAAGAGATCATAATGGAGGATATCGTTCAAACAATAAGTTTAGATGGAGAAAACAAAATATTTTAGAAGAATCTGCTACCAGAAAGCAGATCATCTTGTTGAAGAGACGCAGTGGCCTGGCAGCACTTTGCGAGCCAGTGATGCTACCATTGTATTGATAATGAAATCATGACGGACGATTGAATTACTGACTCTATTCCTTAACTCCCTCGATTCCATTCTCTCACTCTATTCTCTAGCTCCACTCATTTCTCTCAATTTCTTTCTCCCATCCCCCTGTCCCCGTTTTAGCCCTCTTACACACTGTGTTAAAACACAATCTCATTAAGCGGCTAACTCATCCATCCTGACCCCAATCTTTTGAAGTCAAAAAGTAGAAGTGTGGAAGGTGTCTGCAGAATCTGATACACGGAACTCATATACTTAAATGATATCACCCAAATCAGTTCACGAAGATGTATCGCTTCTCTAAGTGGGTCTGACGTATTTAACGTTCTCAACAGTTTTACAGAGATTCTCTTGGAATGGTATATTGTGGGCACCATTGCGAAAAATCGTATTATCTGTCACTTATGAGATGTATACGCATTTAACCAGTTTACACTTCTGAATAAATAACAAAAGTAAGTCGATAGTAATACAAAAAGGTATAAACAGTTATAAAGACAAAAATTAAATGTTTTAAAGAAAGAACCAGAAATAACGAGCAACTATTTCCAAACAATCAATTGCAGATTTTTTAGGCTCGTATCATTCCTCCTTACATGGGTTTCTTCTAACAATCTACATAGTTCATATTTATTCCATGTATTTGAGATAGTAAGAACATGCCATGATCAGTTGGTTTAATTGCGAATGTTGTTCAGTAATTGTAGTTTGTCTCCCCTATACTAATATCTGATTCTAGCTTTATATCTTAGTCAATCGTTCTTGTTTTTGAAATGAAACTGTGAGTAGCAAAATCCCAAAAGGATCACGACAAAAGAAATTGGGTAGGATAGTTCATCGACGATGTTGAGAGAAACTGATGCTTTAGGGACTATAGCATACAAATTGAACTAATTTAGAAAAATGAGCAAGTGAATCTTTTCATGTATGCTTTAGACAGACATCGGGTGACCGACCTAGATTAGTTTGAAACGACAACAGAAATCAGACTTTAGAGAATAGAGCTATTTACGATTAAGTTTGTCATTTGTTGTTGAATCCGATGTACGGTGGAGATCGTTCGGGATTTTCCAAAGTTTATGTACAGTGTACAATGTATCTCTATCTTATAAGAATTTATTAGTTCCGTTTTATCAAACGCTTGAGGAAAGTAGTTTAGGATGTGATAAAGGCTGCGGATACCACAACTAGTTACTTTGGCGGAACGTCAACGTAACAAAATGGATGAACTTCCTAGATACGATTTTTTGGTTTTCTCGATTTAAACTTACGAATAGTATAGGTTATTTGGCACAAAGTTAGACGATATAGTCTAGCTTTTAGAAATGCCGTCAGTTTTGGAATTTGATTTTTAAATAAAGCTAGAATTCATGCATTTAGACCATCACTTTTGTTACATTGACGTAAGTCGTCAAAGTAACATACGGGTACATTGATAATATAACGGACTTTCGTCAACGTAATAAGAGCGAGGGGCTAAATATATGAATTGCAACTTCATTTACAAATAAATTCCAAATTAAAGAAACTTATTCAAACTATATTTTCTAGCTTTGTACCGAATTATAATCTGCAGCTTGACTTATAAGTAGGTTTAAATCGAGAAACAGTAACTCGTAAAGAGGAAGTTCATACATTTTGTTACATTGACGTTCTGTCAAAGTAACTAGTCGTGGAACAGTGTACGTGGCAAATAAAAGGGGGCAATTATCGCAAAAAGGAAAGGAGACAATTAACCCTTTCACGACGATAGGCTCCATATGGAGCCCTATTATGTAATACCTTTCAGGACGATAGGCTCCTTTTGGCACCATCATTTTTATTCATATACATCAATAAAATGACAATATCTCCAGTTCTATTGAATATTTTTACACCAAATTTTGACAAGTTGTTCTAATGTGATAGTTCTTACTAGAAATTGTATTTCAGTGATAAAATATAAGGTATAGGTTCCGGGGCGAAGGTAATTTGCAGTTATCGCCTAAAAACTGCTCTTACTTATCCGTCACGAGGGCCAACTTTTTCCTCTTATATTCACGTCGGGAAAGGGTTAAACATGTCACACTGAGTAATGCGTATAATTGCTTACATTCCCTTTTAAATACATATACTCCGAAAGGATCACAATTTCTCATTTATTTTAGAAGAAACAATGCAACTTGGCATTCTACTTATTTTTCTTACATTCATTTCACGAAGTAACAGGGCGTGTGCGGGTATCCCGGCTGGTACATGTATATATCGAATTTTCACCTGACTGTTTTGTTCACATTTCACGAGGTAACAGGACGTGTGCGGGTATCCCGGCTGGTATATTTCGAATTTTCACTTGACTGTTTTGTTAACATTTCACGAAGTAACAGGACGTGTGCGGGTATCCCGGCTGGTATATTTCGAATTTTCACCTGACTGTTTTGTTCACATTTTCTTACAATATGTATACATATGTGCAAAGTGAAAAAAGTTTATATCATGGAGCTGTTAGAGTAACGGTTTTCATGGTAACGTAACATAACAGTATCCTGGGTAATTTCTTCATGAAAGGAGTGGTATCGATATGGAGAACTTTTTGAACACACGTTTCTCTTAAACCAGTCATAGTAAAAATCTAAAAATTTAACACATCGTCAATTTAATGGTCATCTTTTGAATGGTAACAATATCACCCTTGGTATACGCAGCTAACGAAAATTGACCGGTACGGGTCAAAAGCTGGACCGGTACGGGTTAACGGTTTTATTTGGATTTAAAATAGCCATAACTTGCTCAATATTGACTTCCTCGTGTCTAATTTGAAATATATGATGCCTCCCGATGCTTTTAAGTACCCCAATTTTTTACAGATTTTTAAACGGACCAAAACTCTCTAAATGCGCATTTATGCTCTTTTCTCTCGAGAACGACTGTCTCATTTTCACGATAACTTTTATTTAGAACTTCTAACATATAAGATCTATTTTTCCCCATCAAGGTATGATGTAAAAGCCATGCTATTTACATCTTGTGAGTTTCAATGACGCGCGTTTGATTTTATAAAAGATGCCAAACTTTGTGACGAAGAATTTCATCCTGCTTGTAGCGAGAAGACGGACCGGTTCGGGGCAATCTGCTTGCAGCGAGAAGACGGACCGGTTCGGGGCAATAGCTGATTAAATTCTTTGTCACAAAGTTTGGCATTTTTTATAAAATCAAACGCGCGTCATTGAAACTCACAAGATGTAAATAGCATGTCATATACATCATACCTTGATGGGGAAAAATAGATCTTTTATGTTAGAAGTACTAAATAAAAGTTATCGTGAAAATGAGACAGTCGTTCTCGAGAGAAAAGAGCATAAATGCGCATTTAGAGAGTTTTGGTCCGTTTAAAAATCTGTAAAAAATTGGGGTACTTAAAAGCATCGGGAGGCATCATATATTTCAAATTAGACACGAGGAAGTCAATATTGAGCAAGTTATGGCTGTTTTAAATTCAAATAAAACCGTTAACCCGTACCGGTCCAGCTTTTGACCCGTACCGGTCAATTTTCGTTAGCTGCGTATACCAAGGGTGAATATAATTTGAAATATATATATATACTTTCATCTACAGGGTGTTAAAAAAAACGCAACCCAAAGAAATCGCTATATCTTGGAAAATTCTTATCCAATTTTGTTCAAATTTTCAGGAAAGAGAGAAGAGACTGTGTATGTATAGCTCCTGTTGTTAGTTAGTTGTAAAACACGATGAATTGTACACCTGCTCAAAAGGCAGTAGTGCATGAAAAATACGAAAAACGTGAATGGAAAATCACTATATCTTGGAAAATACTAATTCAATTATGTTCATTTTTTCAGGAAAAGAAAGAATTAGATATTGTGTATGTATAGCTCCTGTTGTTCGTAAGTTGTAAAACATGATGCATTGGACACCTGCCCAAAAGACAGTATGTTCTAGGAAAATACGAAAAAGGCAGTCAGAGGTGACTGCCACAACAATAAAACCTCACAACTTTCTAACCATAGTGTTTTGGCACTTCAGATTTGGCACAAATTATCCTTATTCAATGTGTGGTGAATTTTTGGAGTTTCATCAAAATCACTCCAGGGACTTTACAGTTATGGTCAAAATGCCTTCTGAAGTCTGCCTGAACCAGGGCGTTTGACTGAGATTTGAAAGCATTTTGACCATAACTGTAAAGTCCCTGAAGTGATTTTAATTTGATTTACCATACAGTGGATGAAGATGATTTGTGCCAAATTTGAAGAGCCAAAACACTATGGCTAAGAAGTTATTTAGTTTTTTTGCGGTTGCAGGCAGCCCTGACTGGGTTTTTCGTATTTTCCTAGTATAACTGTCTTTTGAGCAGGAGTCCAATGCATCATGTTTTACAACTAACCAACTACAGGAGATATACATACACAGTCCTTTCTTTTCTGAAAAAATAAACATAATTGAACAAGTATTTTTCAAGAAATAGCTATTTCTTTGGGTTGCGTTTTTTTTGAATACCCTGTATATTGTTTTAGAAAACACATTAAACACTTCTTTCCGAACCTCATTGGAACAAAACGACATACACACAACGTGTTTAGGTCTCTCAATATTGTAATTGTACAAAGGAAATTTTGGTTGATTTTAAAAAAGTGTCTTGTTAATGAAATAAAAGGTTTATCTTGATTTTTATCTATTTTGGGGGATTTTGTTTTAATATTTTGAATACTTTTTTTAAAATCAACCAAAATTATTTTGTATAACTATAATATTGAGAGGTCTAAAAACATGTTGTATATGCTATTTTGTTCCAACGAGGTTTGGAAAGACATTTTATTTCATTCTCAAGAATTGGTTGAAAGGAGCAAAAACAATTGCACTAAAAACAAACAAAAAATTTAACAAAAACAGTCTTAAAAATTATTACTTGGATTTCCCTATATTGAGAAATTGTACTACTCATTTTAAGTCAAAAATTACTTAAATAATCTTGAACTACTGAATAATTTTTAAGTAATTTTTAAGTAATTCATTTATGGTGAATTTACTAATGCAAGGAGAGAAATTGAAATACTTACTGTAGTAATTGTAATACTCATTTACATAATTAAGCAATTAAAAAACTCAAAATGACAATATAAGTTAAACCTAAGTAAAATGAAGTAAAACTAAGTATTTAACTTTAAGTAATTTTTATACTTGGGAAATACTCAAGTAATTCATTTTTAAGAGTTATAAGATATTTCTAAATAATTTTCGCATTAAATTGTTGTCAAGCAGTCAACATTACATATTTTATTGTCAATATGTTTATACTTTATTGTTGAAAAGGAAAGGAGGGACACTGAATACTGCTAATTCCTAATTTCATTTTTTCTATATTCTTCTTCTTGTATGTTGAAGCGTAATAGGTAAAGGATACGAGCCCATCATACGGGTCCAAGTCTGAATGCGGTATATATCAGATAATTCTTGTCCTACTTGCAGGTGGGATGTTTGTGGACGGGGAAGACGATGTTCTTAATAATGCATTCCAATACGCCATTAAAAGCAACGACGTGACACGTTTTGTACCAATTATACAGAGTCTTCCCCTGAGGGAGAGCTTCAAAGCAGTTAAACAAGGTACGGTTGCCAGGCATTATATCAGTAATCTATAGAAAGCCAATGTCACGATGGAGCACCATTTTTTTAAATAGTTGGGGGAACCTACATAACATGTAACTTATAATGACTTAACGTAATGATTCATAAATGAATCAAATTTAGTGAATGAGTAAATTGGGACGATGAAGAATGGTTTTTTATCTGTTTTTCATTTTAATTCATTTTTCCATAGTTTGCCGAACTGTTGAAACTGGAGTGGTCGCAATCTTTGGTCCAACGAACTACGAATTATCAGGACATATCAACTCCCTTTGCAGTGCGCTTGAAATACCACATATTGAGACTCGACTTGGGACAGTGGCAGAAAATTCATTTCCGTTTTCTGTAAATATGCACCCAGATTATGTATCTCTCAGTCAGATCTACGTTGATATCATTAATTACTTCAATTGGGGCGATATCTTCGTAATTTACGGGGATCAAAATGGTATGTATAATTCATTTTAGTAAAGGCTAATATAGCTTATGTGACGGTGTGTACTTGACTAAATAGGCACTCTTAGTACATCTAGGCACATCGGCTACAAAATTCCATTGTTGCATGCTAATCACATTTTTGTTTTATGGAAAACAGCCTCAAACTCCAAGCTTTCTTTTATTCCATTAACAATTTATGAACGTGCGTGTTCAATACATCACGCAATAATAAGGTAGCGAAGTATTCCTTAATTTACAGAAACATCTCTCACATATTGGCAATTGCTTATCTCAGTTGGACGTAGTTTCATGCATTTCCATACCCTTCTGAAAAGATACGATTTGATGATTGAAACGATGCTTCCTGAGAATTTCAACGTAAAAATACAACATACAGTATGAGAAATTATCTAATCTTGAAAAAACATTCAGTCCTCTCAACAACAAACTCTCTTGTTTAACTAATCCTGGATATTCTTTCCTGTAAGGATGCATATTTTCCCCTTAGAGTTATTGCACCTACAAGAGGTATTGACAGTGCCCGTTAGTTCTGAGACGCGGATGGTGATACGTCAAGCCAGCAAGGAAAACATGAGGGATGTATTAAAGGAAGGCTTTAGACAAAATTACCATCATTTCATTGCTGATTTATCCTTGGAAGATACCCACTACCTGCTGAAAGCGGTAAGCAAATTGTTGGGTTCTTCACTGAGGCAGAAAATACAACGTATAGGTTACAGTTATTCAGATCATTGAGGCAGGTGCTCCTACAAGGAGATACCCTTTGAAAAAGTGGTCGACGCACACTCTACCTATAACTCTCAGCTATAACTGATAACCTTTTGAACTTGCGGAGCCAGTCAGAGTCTGTCTGTCATTCATTAAAAACAGCAATGAATTAGGATGAACCCCGAGGGGGCACATGGTTAACCAGGGCCGGGGTTCCACAACTAATCATTGACAGTATAATTTAATATTCTGCTACTGCTACCAGTTTCAAGCAATGTCCACTGCCTTATCACCCTTGGTATACGCAGCTAACGAAAATTGACCGGTACGGGTCAAAAGCTGGACCGGTACGGGTTAACGGTTTTATTTGAATTTAAAACAGCCATAACTTGCTCAATATTGACTTCCTCGTGTCTAATCTGAAATATATGATGCCTCCCGATGCTTTTAAGTACCCCAATTTTTTACAGATTTTTAAACGGACCAAAACTCTCTAAATGCGCATTTATGCTCTTTTCTCTCGAGAACGACTGTCTCATTTTCACAATAACTTTTATTTAGTACTTCTAACATATAAGATCTATTTTTCCCCATCAAGGTATGATGTAAATGACATGCTATTTACATCTTGCGAGTTTCAATGACGTGCGTTTGATTTTATAAAAAATGCCAAACTTTGTGACAAAGAATTTCATCCTGCTTGAAGCGAGAAGACGGACCGGTTCGGGGCAATCTGCTTGCAGCGAGAAGACGGACCGGTTCGGGGCAATGGCTGATGAAATTCTTTGTCACAAAGTTTGGCATTTTTATAAAATCGAATCCATCGCACCCCCCCCTGGCTACGCCTTTGCCGACCATTTTACATAATAAACACTGTCTAGTGTAATATACATACATTCATTGTGGTTCCCTCTGATTGGATGAGTAACAATATATCTAGCTAGAGTGAAGTGAACTAGTCGATGAGATCAGGGTAACATAGAAAGATGACTTGATAATTGTTTGTAGGCACTATATTGTATAATGGTATTTCCCGAGTGAAAACTAAAGTTTGACTTTAATGACGAACAGCTAACATATTAGGAGAGAAAAATAATACCTTCATTTTTGGTTACACTTACACTCCCCTCCATAAGTTTGGCAACCTTAGCTCCCCCATTGAAGTCCGTGTTAAAGCCTCTTTACGTTTGAATTTTTATTTACTTACCCTGCGATGAGATCACTTATAATATTGATGGAAACGTAGCTTGACTTCATTTCCAATACCTCTAAATTTTCCCATTTTTTTCCTCAAGTACAATAGGTCGAAAATTGATGATAAATTTGATGAATTTTTGAAAATCTATTCAGTAAAAGATTCAGCAAAAATATTTTTATATAGGAAATTGAATTGTCTAACTTTTTTGTACACTAAGTGTTTAGTTTACTTGATGAATACTAAAGATGCAGAGCTTCAAAGTCATTTTTGAAAATCATTTTTTCACCTCCTGTGTTATTTCAATGGGGGAGCCTAGGTTTTTTGAAAAACAATTTTGACTATTAAGACCCTTTGTTGAACCTGAAGAAACGTATCAATTTTTTATTAAATAAAGTTAGCAAATTCAATTGCCTACCTAACTAGTATTTTTGTAAGGACTGGGATGGATTGATATTCATATGAAATTGATCAAATTTATCATCAATTTTCGACCTATTGTAATTGAGGAAAAGAATGAGAACAATTTTAGGTATTGGAAATAAACTCAAGTTACGTTTCCATCAATAGTTTAAATATTTTCATCGCAGGTTAAGTAATTAAAAATTCAAACGTAAAGAGGCTTTAACACGTAGTTCAATGAGGGAGCTAAGGTTGCCATACTTATGGAGGGGAGTGTATGTCACATTGTTCCATTTAACCATTTCAATTGAATTCAGTAGCACTCGGAAAACGATTTTTTTTGCAGAAAACCCACTATATTTGTAATTTGAACTAACAATAGGTATGCACTATACAGTATAGTAGTATATTCAATTGGCGTTAATTGCAATTCATATGGAAAATAATTTTTATTGTTGCTGTCTATATTCAGATGGGATGACAATTTGGTATTACTATGTACGTTATCATGCACATGGGACCATTCTATCATAATTGATATTGAAATTATTAATCTAGCTTCAGACAAGTACAAGGTTAACATTTTCATATTAGGGGATAATTTGTATTCAATAACAATTCCAGTGCAACGTTGCAAAATAAACACAATTCGTTGAGCTTGTTTTGCTGTTTTTTCATCAATGATATTGTTTGTTTGTTTATTTGATTAGCCAGACATCTTCAAACGTATTTGATTTGATGTTAAAGTAGAAATTAACGCAGGAATGAACTGTTCAAAATCTTGCATTAAACGTTTAATCTGAGAATAGCTCCTTGTTTCTATTTCATTTTCTTGTAAGGTCCATAAGTGTAAAAATGATAGAAGTGAACCCATACTTACATTGTACATGTATTTATACGTTACGCATCTTATAACATTTTATTACAGGCTCTTCAGCTAGGAATGATAAACTACGAGTACCACTACATCCTCACAAACTTGGTATGTATTCAACGGCAACGTTTTCCAAATAGTCGGGAGGGGGGATAGTCAGATAGTCGGGGAGGGTTATATACATCTAACTTACTTTTCTTGAAACTTGAAATATGCCTTATACATGGACGGATTTTTAACACAATCGTCAATTTTTGGTCAAAATTAGAACCCTCCTTATCAAAATCTGACTAGAAGTGCCCATACAGTACCTTAGATCTCGCGATCAGTACGCAATATATGAACTATATGATCATTGCATGCAATATACATATATACAATGTCAATGTAATCCATTAGCCTTTGAACCATATCTGGTTGCTATAGTTTTGCGAAATCCCAAGCTTAACATCAGCAACTCCATCACTTTCGAATAACATGTTTTTATAGCACACCGGTGGTGATTTCGCATGCTGCTGAGTAGTAGGGAACTCATGGAAACAGAAACAGAAATGATGCTTGTATATCATCATATAGAACTTGGTTTATCATGTGTTGAGACATTCGGAAACCCTAAAATTTTGATAATTCAGATCTATATAGTCTGAACTCACTTTTCTATCAATTATACATTGAATTTCCTTCTCTGCCCATTTGGCAAGGGCTTTAAAAGATATCCCTCGAGGATTATAAAGCAATGCATGAATATATTCAATTTCATTTACATAGGAGAAAAATTCATGAATCTGTAATTGTTCCACTTTTTAGTTGTTCCTTTGTCACTACATTCGATCTGAATTTCAAAATAAATTCTTCAAACTTTTGTTTGCGAAAAGCACAATGAGAAATATTCAAAAGCATCTAACGCAAAATTATCAACTAACAATAAACCACAAAATACATTATGATATTCTGTTTTTCTGTTCCAGGATATCGATTGTCTGGACTTAGAAGATTTTAAGTATAACTTTGTCAACCTGACGAGTTTCAGACTGGTCGATTATGACAAAGCTCACACTAAACACATCTTATCAGATATAGAATCTTATGAAAGACAGCATCGGGTAAAAATCTTCAACACGACTGGTATACTGAAGGTAAGTACGTGATCACTCTGCCAATACAATGATCAGAATATAAAGAGATCAAATGACTATTTGTGTCATTTATTTTTATACTTAATAATAAATGCAAATTTTCAGGGTTGAAAATTGCTGTATTATCAAAGATATTGGTCCATAACAAGTATCTTTGCAAAAATCGTCCATCACTTATTGACCAACCCTCGTATGTAAGCACGCATGCATGTGTCACAATTATTAGGAAAGAACTTTGATGAGTACAGCCCTGCCCTGGAAATAAAGCAACGAACCGCAGGATCGGCCAAACGATGACATAACGTGCAGATAAACAATGTTTAACGCTCCTTCCCACCATTTTCAAACCATTGTCACAATCTAAACGACACGACCATCGGAAAATTCAATTTCTTTAATGTTTTAGACCGAGACAGCATTGATGATCGACGCAGTTTCCGTATTGAGCTATGCTTTGCAAGACCTCAACAGAAGCGCCCCATTCAAAGCCGCTAATTTGTCATGCGACCAGGAAAGAACGTGGAATCATGGTTCTAGTCTTTACAATTGCCTTAATCTTGTTGAATATAGTGAGTAAGGTTTTTTATCTGATCTCGAGGTTAAACCAAACTAGGTTGTTTTTATTCGAGGACTTATAACTCACATTTATATGATTATAATGAGTTGATTAATTATCACTCCACAATGTATAGCATTTCTCATATTGCAGAAAGAAAATACAAACTAGAAAAATATAAATATGCAAATTTCAGAAGAAAAATCATAAATTATAAATGCAAGTTATTTTAGAAATTCGAAGACTGATCAATATATTTGAAAAAAATATTCAACATTTCAACGTTGCCATCTATCGATAACTATCCCTATCATTTACTTTGAACAAAACTGTTGCAATCATATCTAAAATGTTTTATAGAGAACGAGCCGGGACGAGACTCGGGTGGTGGTAGTATTATTGTTGAAGACGAGAACCATATTGGCCTCACTGGGAAGATACACCTCGAAAATGGCAGAAGAACTAAGTTCAAATTGAACATTATGCAACTGACCCAAAACGGTCTGATAAAGGTAGACTCCTTTTTAGATCTGAAATAATGACGTTTTCTTGTCTTCTTGATCGTCCTAAGATATATTAGTGTATGGCCTAAGTGGTAATTTTGCCAAAATCATTTAATTTGCCTATTGCCTAATTTTTGCTAGGTTCAGAAAATTTAATGGTGGAAATATTATGTTCAAAATGCTATTCAATGGGAAGTTTCTTGTCATTAGGACGATTGAAATTAGGAAAATGATAAAATTTGACCATTTGGCAAATGAACCATTCAGATTAATTATACCACTTATACAGTATCTACGTTCAAAACAATCAAATGACATTTAAATTAAAAGCAAAAAGTTAAAGAAAACCATGAAATGAAACTTTAAAATACTGCCACTGGGAACTTTTAGAGTTGATCACTCACTAAAATTAAATATATTGCTGAGGACTATAAAACAGGAAATGATGTCATATGGCACGTGTTCCAAACTGGAGATCCATGACTGGAAAGAATCTAAAATACAATTGCATTTAAGGTCGGTGATTGGAAACCGGAAGTTGGTATAAACTTCACATTGCCCGTAGAATATGGCGTTGGCTCAGCTAGATTTGGAAATAAGACACTTATAGTGTCGACAACATTGGTAAGAAGGATTTAGTTGTAACTAAAAACCCATTTCAATCAATTAAAACATCCATCAGATTTTGTATGTGTCGTGTCTGTTCATGTGAAATTATTCTAAATCATTTGAAATTATTCCAACATCAAATAATTCTCGTTCCTTTAATTCTTCTCATTCTTTGTGTCCATTTTATGCCTCCCCCTCCTCCATTCTCAGGAGCCTCCCTACATAATGCTGAAAAAACCTCCAGATGACCAGCCTCCCCATACGGGTAACGACAGATATGAAGGGTTCTGTATTGACATGCTAAAAGGTATTGCTAAAATAGTCGGTTTCACATATGAGATCAGGCTCGTAGCGGATGCGAATTACGGAGTCGAGCTACCAAATGGTTCTTGGAATGGATTGATTGGGGAACTCAGGGAAGGAGTAAGTCTGCAATTGTCCTTGAAATTTGATAATTGAGCCTGGCCATAGGAAAACCGGTCTTATCACAAAAATTAAAATTGTGCTACAGAGCCAAAAATGTGCCCATGATTAAGAGGAAAATGTGCTAAAGTCAGATCCGACTTTTTGGTCTTTATTTGCAAGGAAAAATTGTTAAGACATAAGCCATGGCTCATTTGAAAGGTTTCTTTGTGCTTTTTAAGATAAACAAAAAATCAGAATATTGAAAAAATCTGTGATAAGACCCCTTTTTCTGTGGCCTGCTCAATTATACAAAATATTAACATTCTTGTGTATTTAATAAAACAGATTTTTAAAATTTTTTTATAAGTTCATATCATATATTCTTCACAATACATAATATTCAAATTGGATTGTACTTATTGCATTTGTGTTTTAGAAAGCGGACTTGGCAGTTGCATCACTTACAATTAGTTACGGTCGAGAACAAGTTATAGACTTTACCGCACCATTCATGCACTTAGGGATCAGTATCTTGTTTAAAGTGCCCAAACGTGAGAAACCTGGACTTTGGTCTTTCCTGAACCCATTTGCCAGAGAAATCTGGTTGTATCTCTTCGCTAGCTACGTCACAGTTGGAGTCTCGTTGTTTCTTCTTGCGAGGTTTAGTCCTTATGAGTGGTACCGGCCACATCAATGTGGCGAGGATGAGCCTGACAAAGAGAATGACTTAACTCTTGCCAATTGCTTTTGGTTTGCCATTGGGACATTGACACAACAAGGGTCAGATATTGACCCCAAAGCCTTAGCAACAAGGATAGTAGGAGGGACTTGGTTCTTTTTTACCTTAATTCTGATATCTTCATATACTGCTAATCTTGCTGCATTCTTAACTGTTGAGAAGAGTGTCTCGCCTATAGAGAATGTTGAAGATTTGGCCAAACAAACTAATATCAAATATGGATCTCTTGGAAGTGGATCCACCATGACATTTTTTAAAGTAGGTGTAAGATTCGATATTGTATAGCTTAAAGTTTACTGAAAATATTGATAGCTCAAATTATTGACAATACTGTGAAGTTTTTATTACCCATAGATATAAGTATGTGTTTTGATATCAATTAATAAAGTCACAAAAGATGGTATAAAGCAGTCTCTTTCACAGCATTACATTATATTCGATAAGTTACCGAACAGAAGATGCACATCGCATATGTATTTTCTTACACTAAACTCAAATATGACATTTCAGGACTCAAAGATAGAAACTTATAAGACAATGTGGAAAGAGATGAATAAACACAAAGAACAAGTATTTGCCAAGTCCACAAAAGAAGGTATACAAAAGGTGAAACAGGGCAATTACGCGTTTCTTATGGAGTCCACAATGCTGGATTATACTATCCAGAGAGACTGTGATCTCATGCAAGTTGGAGGCTTACTTGATAGTAAAGATTATGGTATAGGAACACCAATTGGTAAGTCACTAAATGCGACCAACCCATTACACCTACATGTCCGGTAACAATTCAATTCTATACAATCAACCTGTTTTTGATGTAAACGATGCACTATTGTAGACAACGTGTCTTGCCCATCAACGAGTACACACAAATTAGTGAGAAAGCAGCATTGATATACGAGAATTTATGATATTTTTAAAAATCATTCAGCTGATAGCAGTACGCATCTAGTACTGTTCAGTTAAACGATGCAGAAGCGATAGAGAATGTGAAATGTTGGAAGCAATTTTTTCAAAAACCATGCCAATGTTTTCCCAATTAGCCTTAGAAGTTGTTGAGGATTTAAAATGCAGAAATGAATTCGAATGATAGCCTATTTTTAGTATTTAACAGATGCGCTTAAAAACAAAATGTCCTAAAATAAGTCAGAACAAAAAGAAAATACTAGGCATGAGATGGAATGATGAGAGCAAAACATAATTGTAAAATTGTAAGAATATTTGAATTAGTTTCAACTCGTCCCTCTCTCTTCTCGTCCCTTTAATGAAATCACTACAAATTACGTGCACATAAACATCGAAAAATTACACTAAATACATTTTACAATAAATCATGGGATAAATTCAAGATAAGTTATTTGACTTTCTTGATATCATTTTTATCAACTCTTGTGACAATAAACATATGTGTGTGTTGTGTACCAAAACTCAAGTACATTCTACCCTTCCACTTAATGATATATTATTTGCTATTTGACTATTCAAAAGGAGTATATTTGTTCATTATAGGTTCGGTGTATAAAGATTCCATATCCATGGCTATTCTTAAAATGCAAGAAGATGGTAAAATTCAGCAGTTATACAACAGATGGTGGAGGAATTCCGGTACTTGCACGAAAGACAGCAATAAAGGTGGGTATCGTCCAGTTAAATATCAATGTGGAAACAGCTATAGTTTAACAGAATTATAACATTGAGGATTTCAGAAATCGTAATATCCTATGTAAGAGCAGTTATTCACGAGACTGAATTACCCCTATGTTATATGTAGAGGTTATTCACTAGGAGGGAATAAATATAGGTTATTAAACGTTTTATACCATGATATCGTATGGTTGAATGACAATAGTATCATGGTATAAAATATTATTCGAAACAAAATCGTTTGCTGTATATTGAAAGATACCATATTCTATTGTTTATCAGGTGGAAAGAAAGGTACTCCCCTTGGAAGGGACAACATAGGGGGCATATTTATCGTACTGCTGAGCGGCTTGGCAATAGCCGTAATTGTAGCATTCATGGAATTTACATGGAGTGCAAAAAAGAGATCCAATTTAGATCGAGTAAGTAAAGTTGCATCATTTTAGATTTTAGGGCAGTTGATGCACGACCTACATGAGCGAATTTTTCAGACTTTAATAAAGAATGACAGAAATGGAGTTTATATCAAAGTAGCCCATACCAAGATAAGTAAAAGAGACTGACTTGGGGTAAGGCTACCTATATTGATGGTGCAACATATCATTATAAATATTTTGAAGTAATTTAATTAGTATTTCAGAATATGGCCATTTAGAAGTAAAAATTGAACAAATTGAGGGTAAAAGCTCATCTATTATACCTCTGGATATTCAACTTTACACGTCTTACCATTCTTACAGCAAAGTCTTTGCCAAGAGATGGGAGACGAACTGAGATTTGCTATGCAGTGCCATGGGTCGTCACAAAGGACAGCATTACGTAGGGATTGCTCTGGTTGCAATTCGACAGATGACCTTGAGATGGTCGGTGGAGAGGTGTTGGAGAATCCAACCAATGGAATGATGGAGAGCACTTTTATCCCTCATAGTCATAGTCATAGACATTAAGAATGCCCCACGATTGGCTCTTGTGCCAAGACCTTCAAGGAATTGGGACAGCTGAGAGGTGTACTGGGATTTCAGAATATTAAATATCGTACAACATAATCTCAGCTTTAAAAGCCATCTTACTGTGTAGACTGCACGAGTTGTGAAAAAGAGTTGACAAAGATTAACAATGCAAAGAAGAGCCACATGGAAGCTCACAGAGGTTGAATGTTAGACATACATATCCCATATTAAGGTCACAGAGGTTGAATGTTAGACATACATATCCCATATTAAGATCACTTTTACATTGTTACAGGTCATCTCACCCCCGGACCCCAAGTCAACTCAAATAAAGAAAAACTCAACACAATAAAATTCAACTCCAGTTTTTACCTCTATGATTTATCATTTTATATGAATAGTGCTATATTATTAAGATAGCCGAGCAATTTAGGACAGACATAATCCATCACTGTGTTACTATTGATTAATTTCTTCTTAAATCAAATCTCAGATAATTTGGGAAAAATGTTGTCAATTTACAACTATAATATACATGTAACCTTTCTTTATATGTATGAATGTGATCGTACATTAATTCATGTTCGAGATTTAAAAATGATCAAGAGTTTCAATTTTAAGTCATTGAATAGATGTACCAAGATGTTCAAATGTACCAACAAATTGAAAATAAAGTGGTTTATGGTCAGTTTGGTTCATGCGTGATTATTACTTTCTTACCTTACTGTTAGTTTGTTATGTTACATTAGTTAGAATTGTTGTTGAGTTAGTCTATATGAATACAGAATATAGGGATTGAGTTGTACTAGGTTGACGACTATTGACTCGGGGCTAAGATGACCTGTGACATTTTACATTATAACAATTATGAGCATCTTCTTGCAAATTGTGATAAAGAGAAGACAGCCTTGATAAGTTGTCATTCTAAATATTATATTGAGCTTTTAATACCTTTTAGTAATGAATATACTAAATTATACTAGTATGAATATAACTTACGATGTTTATGTTTCTCAGATGCACGAAATAACTTGATTCTGGTAAAAATCTAAACGAATTAGTCAAGTGGGGATATTTCCCAAAGTTCAAAGTTGGATTGGCTCCCAGGGACTCAATTCGATATTTTTCTACAATGAAAATGTCAGAATGTCGTTATTTTTCCGACATCATATCTGACTATAAATTCATATCAACAATTCAAAAGATTCGAACCAATATATCGATCACTTCTTGTGTGTTTTGGAATTTTTATGTTTTGAAATAGGACCAAAACTCGAGATTCAAACTCTGAATTAAATAAAATGGCGGCTTCGAATTTTGTAATCAAGAGCCACGACATCTCCATATATATTGCAGAATATCGAATTGGAACCCTGGGAGCCAATCCTACTTGGAGTTGGTATTGTATCACGTAGTTCACACGTGATAGATCCATATAAGGCATATAGGACCATATAGGAATCAAACTTAGTGTTACCCGCCATTTCGAATATCACCTCTTGAAAATAAATGTTCAAATCGGTTTGCTAGTTGTAATGGATGATTTTTATGTTTAAGTCATTTGAATTGCGGCTCTTTAAATTGCAAACTGAACAATGTAGATATTTCGGTGAGGCAGCTACTGCTGGTTTTTGGAACCGTTCTGAACATCTTATTGACATGTTGAATTCATTTATCTATCTTTATTGAAAAATCTCTTGAAGTTTTGCTTCCGCTTTTAACAGTATCTTGGTATTCTTCTTCTACTGAAACGCGGCCATCTTGTAATTGTGTTGTATAGTTGGTCACCAGGACAAGCTGTACACCCGCCATTCCTGTGGCCGAACAGCTCGTAGTTGGAACGAACGAAACCCTAAAGTACAATCAATTAGTTTATTGTATATCAGAAAATAGATTGGACATATTATCTGAATTCGGCTCTAAAGGTACATGAACGTAGGTATACAGTATATGTAAAACATTACTATTGGCTTTAACCTTGATGTAGGTAACGGTCTTTATAACGCGATTGGGAGAGGGGAAATCTGTTTTGCATCTGCAGGTCCTTGGCCGACCAAACAGAGAAAATGGGATAGTCAACAGCATAGTAATGTGTTTTAGTAAGTACTTGCCCGAGATATTCCACACGCGATAACATCTTGAATGGCTCTCTGTGCTCCAGCATTGGCGGTTCTCCTCATGAAGTTGCCCATGACGGAGATGGCAATGGCTCTCGAGTTGTAGCCTCGCGTATGTGCTCCGACGGTTGTGAATCCTCTACCCTCATAGGCCATACCATCTTCACCAACGAGGAAACTATACCCAACATCAGAATATCCTGCAAACGCGCAAATGTTATGAGACTTGTTTTTTGACTCTCTGATTTATGATGACAGCACTGCGTAGAGATCATCAAACGTCTCCGAAATTGGAGAATTTCGAAGGAAACGCATTCGCCAAGGATGAGACCCTTTTGCGAAACTACAACATGAAGATGAGATATAAATGTCCATACCTCTGCTATTCATATGGTACCGCTGGGTGTTTCTTGCCGTGGCGGCGCATGCAGACCTTGAACTGCAGAATGGTCCTGCTGTGTGGTGCACAAACACCATTGAAACAGGTGTTCTCATTCTGCCAACCCGCCTTGGAGGTCTAGCGCCCCATCCAGCTCTACTGATGATTCTACCGCAGTTACCAACAGCTTAAAGGATGATATCATCAAAAGAGTAAGGAAAGCCCATTCACTCAACAATCTTACAAGTCAACATGTTTGGTGCTAAGGACTCTTAATCATTATTCAATTCTTGCCTTCTCTATTTCAAATTGTCAAAGGTGACCCACGAGTCGACGTTGTTTTCAAACAACTCATTTTACACCACCCGTAGCTTTGGCAACCCAATGATCCCATTCGATAGAGTTTAAAGCCTATTCATGTTTCTGTAACCTTGGCCCTAAATTGCAAAATGTCCGTTTGATGAATTGACATTGACAATGCATTGACATTTTGTTTTTATAATTCAATAAAAAATGATAGTACTATGTAAATGACTTACGGGGTGGTCCACTTCCACAACGACTGGCAGAGCCAATGGTGAGATAATTCCCTGCTGCCCATCCGTCCTGAGAAACAAAGAAATGTCATGACATGTACTTTGAATGGACATTTATGGAGATGCCAGAGGAGTGCGTTGAACATAATCGTTTACAAACCATCCTCCGAACACAGGCCTCCAGAACTCGTACCTCCTTCTTGGAAAAAGGAAGGAACTTTGTGGATGATGTCTGGAACCCTGCGTTCGGAGGATGTTTACAAGCAAGTGTAAGTGAAAAGTTCATAGGTTAATGTTTGAGTCAACAGCTCTAATGTCTATTGTATCCATCTGCATCCCATCATCAAAAATATTCAATTACCTCGAGACACCAAACGACTATTGAATTTGAGTAGCCTTATGCCTCAGTCACGTGATCTACGACAACCATATGGCGGTCGTAGATTCCCAAAAATGGTGATAAATATGCAGCATACAATATTGGGATTTATACTGGTTATAACACTCAAGCCACGTATTCCTTTCATTATAACGAATTTTATGTTACATGACTATATGTTTTTATTCCGCTATTTAATATACGCTCTACCATGAGTGTTTGGTATCAAATTAAACGTCTCTTAATCTTGCAAAATATCATTTAGTTTTTATCTCAGGGTTATAAAAGCTGAACGCATTATCAATCGTCGAACATTCCAAACTATCATTTTTTGCCTTGTAACCGATAACCCTTATGTTGATTGACAGTAACTTTTTTATATTCTGAAACGTATTTTGTTATTATAATTGACTATTTCATCATAAAGACTGCATCGTGTCAATTGTACGTTAGCTGGAATTAATTTATTTGCTAATTTACTATTGGAAAATCGACATTAAGTATGTGTAGCCATCGAAGGCACCATCATCGACACCATGCTTGAAATCAACGGTGTCGAGAAGCCTCTGCACTATTCATGATAAAGCCCCATTTACTTCTTTGAAATATAAATTGCCTTATTAACGGATGTAAAACATTTTCACAATACATTTGAATTTAACATATTTAGCTTGTTACGTTTTTTTCGACGTATAGTACTATTTTTCAAAATCATCATCGACTCTACAAGTACGTTGTCTTTGCACTCTGCTTTCAATCAAAATCAGGTTTCAATGTTAAGTAATGGTGTTGACGGTTTGTCTCAATGTAGTTTGATAATATAAACATACGCTTTATTGATGTTATTCTTTGACCACGTAAAGATTGAGATATTTACGACCATCAACGACTCCACCAAATACGACTCCAAAATACTATCCACATATTAAGTAGGTCACATGCATAATCGAACGCTATATATTTGTTGAATGAACCTACATTCATTAAATGCCTATTTTGTTGTATGTGTAGCATTTTACAGTGATACCGAACTAAGGATTTAGAGCATATTGTTCATTGTGATTACAACGTATAGTGATAAGTAAAATTGAATCTATTAAACAGATCATGTTATTTACTTATGATGCATATTCTGTTTGTCTTGAAATGCTAAGGTAATGTGACACAAAAATTGGGATGATTGAGCAGTTCATAGTTTTATAAAATCACTGACAAATATAGATGCACATTCCCCGATATTTCTTAATTTATAAACCTTTCGTTCAGTGTACCACTAGACGAAATGTATTTCTTGCCATTATTGTAAAACAATAAATATTTCATTGGGATAATCAGTTTTGTGACATTTTATTAATGTGCATAACTTCCCACACTCTCATTAGTATATCTGTCTTACTTATCAGACCTTTCTGATGATATAAGAATATGGCACTCACCAACGCCGAGAACAGCCGTCGTTCCCTACAGACTACAGTACAGGGAGAGAAAGAAAAATATACCAAAGGCTACTTAGAGCAAGAACAATTGCGACAGCGAGCATCGTATACACCGAGAAATGTCCTGTCTTTTGAAGCTCTTCAACAGATCAGAGAAAAGAACAACAAGGCATCCCGGGAATACAGGGCCCGCATACGTCAAGTGTATAGAGAAACAATCAAAACACGCCAGACTGAAGGGAACGCTCAGAGTCTAAAAGTGAAACTGCCAGGACACAAATGAAAATCCAAGAAATCCCAGAACTCATTGTTAAAACATTGAAGATAAGGCGACTGGACTTAAACCAGTACCAGGTACCTTTCGAATCAATGCTGTGAGAGGGGTTTCCGATAATATTGTTGAAACGCGGGAATTATCGTGCTATTTTGACGCATGCAGAACAGATACGTCATTCTCACCCTGTGGTTGGCAAAGGAACCTTCCGTTAGGAAGACCCAGCAGGCAGCTAAGCTGGTCACCGAGCTACCATCTTTAAAACCAAAACGGACCACACGACGAGCACACCCGACACCCAGGACGTCAAGTACGTAAAGCATCGACGCCTTCCGACGGTTCTACTCTTTCAACCACATTGAAGCGTCTGCCTTTAGTACCCCATCTACAAGTTCAAAGTCTTCAGCACAATTGTTTCCGCGAAGAAAAGGAGAGGCCCGATAAAAAGAACAGACACTGTAATATTTGCAAGGCATGCGGTGTCAACTATTATTCCTATTTACAATCGCAGTTCGAATGGATCAAGTGGTCTAAATGCCACGACTGGTTTCATGATTCAGGGAAATGTTCTCGAGTAAAGGGATACTCATTGGAGAAATATTTACATGCTTTAATTGCAATAAAAGACGACCTTAAATGTGTAAATTATGTAAACGTTATTGTTTAAAAACCTAAGCGACCATCAGCGACACTGTTAAATAACACTTAATATCGCAAGGAGGAGTGATTGACCTATTCGTAACAATGTTGTATTTTGATGTAAGAAGACATGTGTGTCTAATTTGTACATTCATTTTGTCGATCTACGAATTGACTTGGCATATTATTTAGCTTAGAAAACAAAATCTTGAAATCAATTATCTTTAGGGAAACTCAAAACAATGTATTTCAATGATTTTCTTAATAAAATTATCTTGTTAAGATAAACAACAACTATTGCAATTTATTTTTGTTCATGTGATTAAACAATTCAAACTTAATACATTAGTTTATCTTTAAACTCAAAATTAATTTTGATACATGAATCAATGTAAGCCTATGTATGCACCATCATCGACACCAGCAATTTAAGAGCATATTTACGTTTTGATGCACAGTCAAGTAATTGTTTAAAGGGTAATAAAAATATTTTGAGAAACGCTTCTTAAACCCCATGGCTAATGGTATGTGCATTTATATCTCAATGTAAAATTTCATTTTTTCAACTTTTATATTGATGAAATGTGAAAGAGATTCGTGGCTTGACTGATAAGCGCTATGATGTTTATTTTCTATATCGAATCTTTGAAGAAACGGCCGCCGATCGCCCACCGTAGAGCAGTGACTGGGGCTTAATTCACAATTGTGGCAATTTTCAATTATCAAAGACAGATGGAACAATCGGAGACATGAGTTGTCATTCTTGTGGTTTAGTACTCCCTTTTTACATACCCTTCCGTTGAAATTAAAGTTGAAGAAATGCCAAGATCTGCCACTGAGACTGCACCAACTGTTCCTCCCTTTGTATGTGAAACATTGGCCACTTCTCGCCCCTCCTACTCTGCCTCCGCATGCTGCGTTTATAAGCCACGGTGAAATATTTTAGAATAGCATGCAGTATGCACACTTGGACATGAACATTGAAGAATTACAGATTCTACCATTTACCAAATCGACAGAGCACTTCTACCACAAAGACCATGGGCTTGACGCGTGCACACCCATTAGTAAAAATGTACGTTGCAAGTAAAGATAATGCTCGAAGTCTCTGATCGGAAAACAAACTTCGCAAGGCGCCATTTGGTGCAGGGTTATAACTAACTACATATCATTGGCTTGCAATTGCTTACGGGGGTGTAGTATGGAGATATAGTTTCAACTACGGTGGGTATGGTGTTCCTACTGTATATGCAAGTATAAATTAAAAAATTCAGAGATCATGCAGTCAAACCTGTTTAATCAGAACGCCATTGCGACAAGCCAAAAATGCTCGGGTTGGTAGGTCTTCAAAATTCAAGTTTTTCAACTGGTAGTTTAAGTGTTCACATTGAGAGGTATTTATATTAGAGATGTGTCTGGAGATTTTGTCAGGGTTTTACTGTGATTCTATTCAAATTTCCTCTTCATAATTGCGTCACCTGGGTCTTTCATGTGTACTGACTACTCGAAGATGCTACAACTTGTGTGATAGGAAAATAGACGGTGCAGTTTATACGTGTCAATTAAATTACCGACTGGACAATATGGTACAAGATAAAATGGAACTTACCGCTGCCCCTTACATTAAGTCCACTTGCTGAAACACAAAGACATGCTCCATTTGGTGGATTGGTGCCACTTATATTAGCGTTCACCAAGCATATGGCGAAAGCGAATATTACGATCAAAACTTTTGCATCCATCTTTAATAAAACCCTTTCTCATTTGTGATTTTGAAAGCAGGGCCAACCTTAATTAATTAATACCATTCTTATCTTTATTACGGACAAAACGTCATGTATGACATTGATTCAAATTCTTATTTTCAAATGTTTCTTATTTTAGAACATTATCAATCTAATTTTGAACAGGAATAACATTGGCATTGTTAAAACACCGTGTGACATTGTGCATGTGGTGGTAGCGGGTAGAGAGACTGTGGCTATATGCCTAAATCACTGTTCCACAACTAGTTACTTTGACGGAACGTCAATGTAACAAAATGGATGAACTTCCTGGTTACAATTCTTTTGTTTTCTCGATTTAAACCTACTTAGAACTCAAGTTGCAGATTATAATTTGGCACAAAGCTAGGAAATATAGTCTTCTTCGATTTGGAATTTGCTTTGTAAATGAAGTTGCAATTCATATGTTTAGCCCCTCACTTTTGTTACATTGACGAAAGTCCGTTATATTACCATTGTGTGTTACTTTGACGACTTACGTTAATGTAACAAAAGCGATGGACTAAAAGTATCAATTACAGCTTTATTTAAAAATCAAATTCCAAACCGAGAGCATTTCTAAAAGCTAGACCACAGGTATATTGTCTATTCTTTGTGCCAGAGACATATAAAACATGTCTGTTTGTGCCAAGTGATAATCCCCAACATGACTTATGCGTAAGTTTAAATCGAGAAAACAAAAAACCTCGTACCCAGAAAGTTCATCCATTTTGTTACATTGACGTTCCGTCAAAGTAACTAGTTGTGGAACAGTGTATATATTCGTAAGAGCTGCCCATGCTGGGGTGTAATGACCATTGTCATAGTTGAAATTTAAAACGATTCAACATGTTTGATACATTTGGGAGTTTAAGCTTGCATATAAAATCGAAACGCCAACATATACGTATGACTAGTCGCCCATACAAATGCACCACGTTCCGTTCACGTTTAGGTTGTGAAAATTCCTTAACCAGCTTAAACTCTCTATTGTATATGTCTAATCTCGATATGTATTCAACATCCTAGTTTGTAATTGTTAAACCAATGATAGAAAGATGGCAGAAATGCTAACTTCCATGTATCTTTTTGCACAATTATAAGATATTTTTAAGAATCATAGGAACGGTTACTGTATCAATTGCATTCGTGTGCAGAAAATCAATGTGCAATCAATTTAAGAAATGGCCATGGGTTTATAAAAATCAGTATCGAAATCAGAGAAATATAGATCTGAGCACTATATTCTAAAGGATTTGTTAAACGTTCATACGGTTTTGTTCAAATGTAACATTTAGTAATAACATTAATTAAGGATTAATATTCAAATCGTTTTATGGAGCAATATGGACAGAAAAAATTATAAATAGTTCAGGGCAAATGACATTATATTGTAAAATATGTAGTTAACACCATTGTATATTATGTAAAAATTATAAAAATGTTTTAATTTAAAGTGAATAAAAATTCAAAAAAGAACTGTATTTCAACATTTACGTACTTTTAAACGATTTAGATTTAGATGAGTGGGGTGTTCACTATATTTGGAAATAATTTTCAGACAAAAAATTGGAATGTTAGAATAAGTAAAATAAAGAAAATATGAATCAGCATCAATAAAAAAAAATTGGTCAATCTGCCTGTGCATGGAAAAATATTCCGAGATCTTATTTGTGGTAAGAAAGATCAGTAAAAATGAGCCCCCAACCATAGAACTTGTTTTTATGTCAACACCACGAGTGGTGATATAATTGTTAACGTCTCCAATTTTTTTTTGGGGGGGAAGGTGTTCGGCGGTTTGGGTTCAGCGTTTGGCTGATGGTGTTCGGCGTCTGTAACAAATGACAGATGGTTACCTTTTGCATGCTAATGTCTTGTTTCAGAACTCAGATAAATATTTTGTCAATCTTTATGACCAAAATCGAAGAACTGATTCATTCATACATAACATTCCCTTACTGACTGTATAAGATGTTAATCTGGCACCATTATTTGAGGCATTACCAATGGTACAGATTTGGTAACTGTGTCTAATATGGGATCGTTGTCATTTAGTTCCTCAACAAGTCTTTATTGATTTTTATATCAACTCTATTTCTTAACTCTATTAACATCATATCTCACCAACCTCTCCGGATCCAACAATCTCTTTCCCAATCTTCAACCTTAATATCTCATTAGTATTATACAGTATACTAAATATAACTTACGTGAAGTTGGCAGAGGAATTTAAAGTTGCAGACAATACAAACATACAACCCGGCATGCAATATAACAATTTCACACATAGTTAGGCAAGGTGTGTCTAATTCCAGCCAATCAGAACAAGGCTATTTCATGTAACTACATTCCGTTATATAGCCAATAACGCATTTGTTGTATGGTTGTCAAGGTGACAACTTGGAAATTGATGCTTTGCCAATTCGACCCTTGCAAAATGTTTCATTGAAAATATGTAATTTTAGTGATTTTATATATTTTAGGTGTTTTTGTTAGGTGTTTTGCAATGTGCGAAAGGAATTTAAGCCCAAGACTCAATGCATTAAGCTGCTTCGTTCCACTTAGGCGTTGTTTTCTAAACTTTGCATTCCCGCAGCGCGGTCATGCAAATATTTGGAAGCAGCATCTTCAATGGAATGATTCAGCATACACTGAGCCCAGGGCTTAATCGGAAAAGCTATTTCCATGCCATAATGTTACATTACATACACTGACACGAATTAAATACCTACTTTTTATCTTATTTCTAAGCATATACATGATAAAATCTCGTTATTATCTATTTTCACGATATGGATTATATGTTTACCTCTCCAAACACAAGCTACGTGTCTAATGTCTTTTTGATGGCGCAATACATCCTAACTATTGATATGTTTCGGAAGCGGATTTATTCCAATCTACCAATCATAGCTGTAATTGTTCAATGAAAATGTTTTTTCTTTCTATTATTCTCGCTACTTCAATTAATTACAGATTTATTTTTAAATGTGAAAATGTGGTATTAAACACTGACCAGTTGGTATATTATATGGGAACGGTAGCCAAATCGAGAGTGTTTCATTGATTCATACAAAATATTAACATAGAATTTTGTAGCTAACGTTAGGCAATTACTTTTTTAAAAGATGGGGTTGTTGTTAGAGTAAAATACATATATCATGCCTTTTGAGGACTGTTTCATATTTGAAGGATATGGCCAATATGCATTACACTTCGTAACAACCATGTTGTAGCATTCAGTGTGTCGTAATTGGTAAAGGGAACATGCATGTATACTTTCACGCCTAACCATCGACAACGTACAGTGACAAAATATACCACCGTACACATTATAGATGTACGGTGCCACTATTAACTAATTTGAAGCAAAGATAATGATGTAGGTTTGACGTAGGTGCAATCTAGTCATAATGGTCGGTTGGAAAATGTTACACATTTCCTTTGATCATTTCCTCCCCTGTCGTTTAACAGTGTCGAATATTTTTTATGAGAATATGTTTCTTTAAACTACACAATTAAGGTCTGTTGAAGATTTAATAAGTATAAACGTTTTGGCTATGATTTAAAAAAATCATAAGTGTACGTTGTCAACTCGAATGTACGTTGTCCCATTGAACTTGCTCATTTCACAGTTAGGGTTACCCTAATGCAGGCAACGGATTTCACATAACACTAACAGGCAGGGGGTCAGATACATGAGATTGACCACGAAAATGGACCACTGTTCGAAAATCTTTTAACGTTATTAGAAAGTTAAATGTCTTCAATCCTAGACGAATACACACAAAATCAAACATGAAATCCTTAATGTATTCCTCAGATATTTTTTTAAAACCTACATCAAACCTACAGCATTGTCTTTGCTTCAAATCGGTTAATACATCTAAAGTGTACGGCGGTGTATTTTGTCACTGCACGTTAGAAAGGTGATAGACAAGATTAAATTTTCACGATCTATTTATGACTGAATTTGTTTAACGATAGTAAATAAACACCCAAGACAAGTTTCTCAAATTAAACCTCGCATCCATTCATTTAAGTCTACTTTAGCAAACTGACCATACTGTCTTGAAGTTGTTCTCGAGAATGAAGCTATATGGAAATTACTAATTCTCCCTTCTTACGGAGATTTATTAGAGATATGCCTATTATCATTCAAGGATGATACTATTATACGTCGAAGTTATTCCGATCTTAATCAAGTATCGATTACCATTTTCATTATGAAAGACCATGAACCCGATCCAAATAACCTTGAAGCTTTTCTGAAAGTACATACAATTTAATGACACTAAAAGCTCCAGAAACTCGTCTCAACTTTGGATTTCAAGAAACTGTCGTTCGTACACGATCTGCAAAGCTTGGTATTATAGGCATCTCGTATCTAGAACATTTTTGATTGATACTTGCGTCATGTTTTCGTGTTTGATCCCAGACAAAAACACAAAATGAGTTATGCGATAATTAGGGAGAAGTGTTTTACAAACCCGACGGTCCATAAAGCTGACGAGATTTTAAATGATGCGAATCATTTTAGATCCCACGAGGATCGTAATTTTCACATGGCCCTTTGCCCTTTTCATTATATAATACATATGGGAAATATACTAGTATGAGGGTTATGTTATGGGAGGTTTTGGATGTGTGGTATATCTTGAAGGAAATACAGATATCTTACCGAGGAACTGGAGGATCCGAGGTACAATATCATTTTAAAATAGTAAGTAAGTATTTGTTTATTTCAGTGTCTCGTGCACATTTTCACATATACAATCAATACAAACGAGCGTGCACCCAGCCTTCAAAGGGGACACTTTAGATAATCATTACACATAATCATTTCTAATGTGGAAAATTTTTGATACATAGTTCGATGTAATTGATTCAATTTTCGGATTATTAAGGATTATCTTCGAATTGTTAATGCTAGTGTCTGTAAAATCAAAATCAGGATTTCTCGAGGGATATGGCCCCTTATTCAAAAGTTTTAAACCGAGCATCTCATAACTAATTTCTT